CAGTTAAAATAGAATCAAGAGCTGGCTTTTCTAACTGATTTAAGGGTCATTTTCAATGGGACCCATATCAAGTATGCATTAAGAAGTCCATTTTCAACCCTATTAATATATGAGTTGCTGTTGGTTTGTTTTTTTTAAGAAAATTTGCAATGAAATGTGTATTTTATCTCAGTATTTGCAATTCTGAACCTATCATATCAGGAAATATGCATTTTGGTGAATTTTTCGAGTTGCAAACTATCACAAAACTCATAAGAACTGCAAAAATTGAAGTATACATTCTGACTGAGGTATTAGTGAGAGAGGTGTGAATTAAGTTTGTTTGCTTTTAAAAAAAGCAAAGTTCTCCATCGCTAGTTCTTAAAAAAACAAAACAGGGACGTTTCCATACCCTCCAACATTTCATCAGTGAAAATAGGGACATCCTAAAGAAAAGTGGGACATTCCAGGATCAAAACAGAAACTGGGGCAGCTTCTCTAAATCCGGGACGTCCCTGGAAAATAGGGACACTTAGAGGGCCTGGACAATTCAAGACAGTCCTTGGACTATCCTCATAGTAAATGTACATTATGCTCTCTGTTTTCAAGCACATCTAGGTCGGGCTGGTTGTTATTTTAATTGCAGGCAGAAATGCAAGCTTAGGGGGAAAATACAGAAATGTGCAAGATGAGATGGACTGGAGATAGGAATTTATCTTTGCCCCAAGAATAGGAATGAGTTAAAGCAGTCTCCTACAGAAAGGTAGGCGGACTTCTGGCCCATGGGTCTAATGAAGTCTGCCCATTAGACTTTGCGAGGCTCATTTTAAAACATCTGCACTGTTTGCCAGTCTGTTTCTGGGCCCATTTCAAGGTGCTCATGCGCTTAAAGTCCTAATCAGCTCAGGCCCCAAATACCTGAAAAGCTTCCTCCTTCCCTATTGACACCCTTGGCAAGGGGGAACAAGCCCTACTGCTTGTCCCACCACCCTCAAAAGCACAGTGGCCGCAGCGGCCACACGGGAGAGGGCCTTCTTTTTACAAACCGCTTTGAGATCTTTTACAACCGAGCAGTATATGCCTTTATGAAATTAATAAGAAGAACGAACGAATGAATTCTCTGTGGCAGGCAGCCCCTGAGGCCACGCCGACGCCCCACATTTAGAGATCTAGAATACCAGTTTAAACAGTTATGGCTTCTTCCCCCAAAGGATTCTGGGAGATGGGCCTGAACTTCATAGGCACTGTCCTGACCAGGGCCGGCCCAAGGCATTTTGGCGCCTGGGGCGAACTACAAAAATGGCGCCCTGCGGAGAAGAAGGAGCTAGTGAAGATCAAGAACAAGAGGGGAGCCACATGTTGCCTCATGGGTGGGCCGGCCCTGGTACTGACCCATAAAACGCATCCTTGAAGCTCCACCAACCCGGGCCTATATGGAGGGATGCCCTGGGATTTTCGGATGAAGGGTGGCATACAAATTTAATAATAATACTAAAAGGACACGGAGGTGCAAGAAGTGCATGAGCGGAAGAGAGCCTCTAAGGTTCTTTTCACATTCAGGTGACAGTACCAATGTTATCACAACAGGCCCCATCATGAGCCATGACCATGTGTGTTACCTAATTTGCACTGTATGCTCTATCCATCCATCTGTTTCATTTATAGACCACCTTTTTTCTCCAAGGAGCTCAAGGTGGCAGATGTGCTTCTCCCCCTCCTCATTTATCCCCACAACAACCCTGCGAGGTACGTTAGCCTGAGAGGCAGTGGTTGGCCTAAAGCCATCCAAGTGAACCCTGGTCTCCCACGACCTAGTCCCACATGCTAACCACTACACTGGCTTCATGGTACCGCTTTAAACTGTCATGGCTTCCCCCAAAGAATACTGGGGATTCTTGTAGCGCTGAGAGTTGTTAGGAGACCACTATCCTGGTCTGGTGGAACGCTCTGCCTCATGAGACCAGGGCCCTGCAGGATCTGATTTCTTTCCGCAGGGCCTGAAAGACAAGAGTTGTTCCGCCTGGCCTTTGGCTTGGAATCAACTTGATCCCCTCCCCCTCTTTCCTTTTTCCTTTCTCCTTCTGTGATGGAACTCCTATTTGGGGACTTCCCTGGCTTTTTTTCTGGCCCACATAGGACCAGTCAGGATAGTTGGCCTTAGTGAAGATTTGACGTTTTCATCCACAAAAAGTTTTTGATTTCCGTTTCTACTGAAATGAGGCTGCATTTTAATTGTACTTTAATCTTGTTTTTGAGTTGTATTTTAATCAATTGTTTTATACCTGGTGTTAGCCGCCCTGAGCCCGGTCTTGGCCGGGGAGAGCGGGTATAAATAAAAAATTATTATTATTATTATTATTATTATTATTATTATTATTATTATTATTATTTATTCTGCTTTTACAGTCTCTCAGAAATGGATTAACAGCCAATCTGTCTTCCCTAGGGAGCTGTGAGAATTGTAGCTCTGTGAGGGGGATCGGGATCTCCTAGCTCTTGGCACCCTTAACAAACTGTGTTATTTGGGGGGAGCGCATGACTGATTAAAACGGTAGTAATGCTGCCTTTAAATGTAAAAGTGCAAAGTGGGCCTCTTAACATCTCCAAGGTGGGAAATAATATTAAATACTAAATGCTATAAATTAATTATATTATATATAATATTATCAATGCAATAATATTAATACTATAAGTGTAACTCAGGTTAAGTACTTAATTCGTCCGAGATCCGTACTTAAAGCTGAAACTGTTCTTAACCTGAAGCTCCACCAAGCCCGATTTCTGTTCCATCCTGAAGCAAAGTGTTAACTGATACTATTCTGGTTAGCGACGTAACCAGTGTACCTAGGCTGAGATTTCATTGCTGCAAGTGCATTTTGCTGCCTACTGGGAGCTGCTTTTCTAGGCAGCTGGCAAGGGTGCAGGAATCACAGAATTGGTGGAGTTGGAAGGGACCCTGAGGATCATCTAGCCTAACCCCTGTAATGCAGAAACATGCAGCTGTCCCATACGGGGGTCAAATCTGTGACCTTGGCATTATCATCACCGCGCTCTAACCAACGGAGCTACTTAACTTGTGCAACCCAACTGGTGGGCTGCACTGACTGCGCATTGTGTGTCACAAGCTATGCAGGGTTTAATTATTTGTGGTATTTCTACTCCACCCTTTAGCAAAAAAAGGGGGGGAACTCTTAAGAGCAGTTTACAAAAATCAAAACGGCAGCAGGACCTCAGGCTTACAATCTGGAAGGAAAGGACAGTTCAAGGTATTGAGGTTACAGCTGAGGTTGGTGCTGGTTCTGGCCGTCTTGCCTTGCTAAAATGCCCTCCCCATACTCAATCAGATCCAGAGCAGCACATGTGGCAATTTCCTGGTGAGGAGGGGAGGGCAGCCCCAGATACACAGTTCTTATATAAGTGTTTCAAAACCTCAAGTTCATTGGAAACATTAGATTAACATTTGGCAAAGGCCTTTAAAACGAATGCAGCTGACAGCTGCTGCTTCTTTCTGGGCTGGTCTCAGTGATCAGGTAATACCTGTCAGGAAATTGGGTGTGGGTGTTAACAGAGTTACACCATCACCATCTTATTAAAAAAAAGTGCTATAAAGTTGTTATAATGCGCTGGAGGGGGCCTTTGAAAAATTGCAGCTTTCTCTTTACCCTGGCACCCTTAGGAATCACTTGGAAAACTAAATTTGATTAGCATCTATTTATTTCCACTTTACTGCTCGGACCAAATTCACCCTAAATACGAAGCATAAAGAAAGAAATCAGCAGTTGCCCCACCTGCTAGATGAAACATTAAGCTCTTGTGCATTAAAAGTGGAAAGATCTAACTGATTTGTACAAATCAGGGGGATTGAAACATACGTGGGAAACAGATTAAGGAACTGAAATTGAACATGAATACCATTATTAAAGATATGGAACGGCCTTAAATATATGAAATACTGCATTAAAGATATGAAACTGGAAATGATGCAAAAATGGCATCTTACCTCACTAACATTTACAACATAGCTCACCATTGTGCTGGCTTGGCTGCAGAGACAGGGGTCATTACAAGTACATATAGTGAATATTCCCCAAGGGGACAATGTTTTGAGACCAGGTGATGGTGATATAGATAAATGACCCATCAGCGTATCACCAGCACTCCAGAGCTAGCCTTACTGAATCTGTATATGAATAACAACAAAGCGTGTTCTCCTTCATGGAGAGCACGTGTTGTGGTGGGGTCTAGCAGGACACCCTCTTCTTTCGCTGCGTGTACTGGATCACCCGCTAACCCTCCCTAATTTAGGGCTTTTGTGTTTGACCTTGCTATGCCTGTCATGGGGTCGTCTGCTTTTGGGGCAGGGGCCTGGTAGGAATTTTGTCCATTTGGCAGATTGGTTGGTGCCATTTGGTTTTTGCCTACTACAAAGCAAATCGTCACAACTTGTAAGGTTGCAGTTAGGCATTGGCTAAAAAATTGGTTGGTGGAGGGGTAAGGATTGGCTGTGTTTGCCCCTCCAATGCTGCTGCTGCAAGGGAATTCCATTAAAGGAATCCAGGGGCTCACCGTGCTTTCGTCCGAATCCCTGGCATGGGGCTTGGGCTGCGCAAGTCCCTGGGAGCATGCGGGGAGAGTTCAGGGTGTGGTACCCAGCTCCATTTTCTCCCCAAATGTTTTCCCTCACTTGCTTTTGCAGGGTTGCGGAAGTCAGTTCTGTCCCTGACCAATGCCTAAGCAACCACTCATATTTTGTATTTTAATAAAGTTGTGGCCAAAATTATGCCAAAAACCTCAAACAAAAATTCTGTGTGAATTGTGATTTCTTTGGGGGGTGGCTTGGGGACCTTGACACGCAAAGACCTGGTGGATAAACCCTTAACTGGATTTTTGTTGGCAGCAGCAAGTATGGTTATCTCCAAGACAGCAAGGGAACCTGTATTATCCTGATACGAGTGCATGTGGTAAAAAGCCCCCACAGAGAAATTAACACAAAACCCAGAGCAACACAAGGACAAATTTGCTGGAGAATAGTGAAACTTTATTACAATTACAAAGACACCGGAAAATGAAAGACCAGCCCGAAACATTTGCACCGTTTTATAGATAGGATAACAGACAAATATTTGCATCTTCTTGTTGTAAGGGAACGACTAGTATCACATAGGGGAGTTTCCTGGAACAAAGTGATAAGAGTTGATTACTTGTTAATAATTTGTTAAAGCTGTACTGGATGGGACATCAAGTTCTGAGGTGCTGGAAAACAACAATAACGAATATTGAAAAAAGGGGAGACGGAAGACGAAATGGTTAAATCAATAATGATACGATGGACTACAGACCTGTGACATAATACAGAAATGTGTGCATGGGGAAAGCTGTGGAAAGTAGATATGAAATTTACTGCTTGTTACACCTTAAAAGGTAATTATATGAAAACGGAACGGAAGGAAATTAGATTATAATATCATGATAATGATTTAATTGATAGAAGATAGGATGCAGCAGAAGGGGAGAAAAAACAACATGAAAAATGGGGTGGCAAGTGGACAAAAACAAGAGAAGAGACAAAAATGTATTTGATTGTATGTGCTAAAAATGTTGAAACTTAATAAAATATAATGGGAGAATATTGAAGAAAGAAAACACTCCCTGCCTACACGTTTCTCCTCCCAACTGCCTTGCTAAGAACCCTTTCAGCATCTTCCTCCAAATCATCCACAAATTTTTCCAGCATTCTCAGCGTTGACATAAAAGCAATTCTTCCTGCTGCTGGGGAGCCAAAGAGCAGCAACAGAGGTGAGAACAGAATATGAAAAAACCCGACCTTCGCATTGGTCAGTAACTCGCCTACACGCGAAGGCAATGCTGAAGATGGAGGGGACTTCTTCATCTGGGCTCTAAGTTCCTCCTCAGGTTGCTGAACCAGCCTAGCAAGTTTGGCAAGAGACTCATCATCCACACCAAACTCCTGATAGTAGTTTAACATGGAAGGCAAGAGGAGGGAGGTGTCACAAGCAAAAGGGATGCCTGGCGTTGGGGTTGCGGTGACACCACACGACACCGTGGCGACCTCCCATGTGTGTTTCTTCAGAATCTCTTTCTTCTTCTGTAGGATACGCGTGGAGATGCTTGGAAGGGCCAAAATAAAAGCCCGTTGTTTGTGGACAGGGAGGTCCTTCTCTAGCGTTTCCTCCAAACAGTGGAAATCGTACTTGTTGAGGTCATATCTGGAAAGGAGGAAAACCCCCTGAGAGGTGAATTTTGCTTCTCTGAGGCTCTGCATACAGTCGTCACGGATTTTCCTCAGGACACCCTCCTCATCATAGAAGGGGGCCTGTTGTCTCCTGGCACTTTCCAAATCCAAGTCGACCTTGGTGCGCACAAAGTAAAACTTTTTCCCCTGCTGCTTAATTGCTTTTGCCAGGAGAATATCATTCTGGCCTAAACGGCGGCTGCTGACAATAATGAAGAAGTCATAGCGGTCAAAGATTACCTGCTGGAGGTACGTATCAGCTGCGAATTGATTTGTGCCAATTCCTGGGAGATCCCATATTGTTACACTGGGAAGTTTAGGGTGCTGGTAAGGGACTACCTCCATTGTGGTCTCACGTACTCCAGTTTGTGCAGCACCTACTTCATGATCGCCAAGACCTCGAAGGGCATTGACCAGGGCAGATTTCCCAGCACCCGTTACTCCCGAAATGGCGATATCAAGCTTGATTTTATCTGGTGTTTCCAGCAAAATGCTAAGGACATCTGCCATTCGGCTGTTTTCCAGAAACTCAGCCATGGTTGTGGAGGTCTCACCTGAAAGAACACAATGCAGAGGCATTTCATTTTCATAGAATCACAGGTACCAAAACAGTGCAGTGGAGATGCCTGCCTGCTTTCAACCACACTAAAACAGCAATGCACACAAGTGCAAAAACATTCAGAGAAATCAGCTGCAACCTTCCAACAGCTTGACCTCACCCACAAAGGTGCTCTCCATCACCTCCGGAGACAGACAGAGGCCAACAATACAATACTGGCAGCAGATAGTGGTGATATGTCATTGAAATAAACAGTGTAGCATTTTCTTTGCAGGACGAAAAAACTGGGCACAGTTTCAAGATACAGTGGTACCTCGGGTTACATACACTTCAGGTTACAGACTCCGCTAACCCAGAAATAGTGCTTCAGGTTAAGAACTTTGCTTCAGGATGAGAACAGAAATCGTGCTCCGGCGGCGTGGCAGCAGCAGGAGACCCCAGTAACTAAAGTGGTGCTTCAGGTTAAGAACAGTTTCAGGTTAAGTACAGACCTCCGGAACGAATGAAGTACTTGACCCGAGGTACCACTGTAGTCTGTTTAAAAAAAGATACCAGTTTGTGCAAGGTTTGGAACTGCCAGCATCAATGCCTTTTTAACAGCCCACAACGTTTTTGGGCTTCCCTGGATGTTGGTCCTCAGGGCACGGAAGTGAGACTCTGGAAACCTCGCCAGTAATGCTGGCCTAATCACTCTGGAAACTGCATCGGACCATTGCTCCATCGAGCTGAGTATTGTCAGCACTGACCGGCAGCGGCCCTCCAGCTTTTCAGAAAAGAACACATTCCCGGGATTCCTGGGATTAAATCTGATACTGTTTGCCTGCAATGCGTGTGCTTCGCCGCTAAGCTGCAGCCTTTCCCCTCATTTGCAGATGGTTGGAAGAAGCAGAAATACGGGAGAGGATGAAGAAACCAGAACCACGAAAGCAGCCGCAGCAGCTACAGGACTGCTTTTAGCAAGGAGGGAGGCTAAAGCCAGCTGCAGGTGGGCTTCTAAGTGGGGACCCCGCAAACTCTGGCACGCACTCTTTCTCCCAGCACCCACAGGTCTCTTGCACTATCGCCCCCCCGCCACGCTACAAGCTCAAGGAGGGTGGCTGGCTGTTGCCACAGCTTAAAGGGCTTGGAAGGGGTTTTGAGCTCACCTTCAGTTCCCTGCAAAGCGGCTGGAGACTTCCTCGAGAGTAGGCCTCCGCTTTGGTGCCGTAGCAGCAACGCACAACAACCCTGACGCCTGCCTGCAATTCTCCGGGACCCCTTGGAAGTAAAAGTGAAACAAACCTTCAGTCTGCCCACACCCAAACTCAAGTCTCTGTGCCTGGTGCCACCTTGTGGCCCTAATTTTTACGAACACAATGGGAAGGCTTAAAGGTTACCCAACTAAGTATTAACTGACATGGTGAAAATTTTTGTATAGCTCATTTTTTCTACGTGCTTTACGTTTCTTCTTTATGACTACTGTTGTAATAAATAATCTTTCATAAAAGATATTGCATTACATTCTTCATTAAATTATCTTTCCGTTGATATATAATTTTATGGTATTGCTCAAAAAAAGAAAAGGGGAAAAAAGTGGTGTTATGAGCCATCATTGCCAAAACCAGATGACACCTGACTGGCTCTCTAAACACTCCTTTTTCTGATTATTTGGCTGTATCTTTTGATAGAATACAGATAATGGAACAAACTTTGTTGCATTACATTCTTCATTAAATTATCTTTCCATTGATATGTAACTTTATGGTATTACTCCAAAAGAAAGTGGTGTTATGAGCCATCAAACCTCGGAAATGCACTTTTCCCAAAAGGTTTCCACAGTGTTGGCCACTAGTGTGGTTTTCTCTGTCACACACACACACATTCTACATACAGTGTAGAATCATAGAATTGTAGAGCTGGAAGGGGTCCCGAGGGTCATCTAGTCCAACCCCCCTGCAGGGCAGCAATCTTTTGTGCTACGTGGAACTCGAACCCACCTCCCTAAGATGAAGAGTCTCATGCTCTGCCGACTGAGTTCTCCCAGCTTTAAATGTTTGCTGTGAATGCACCTATGCCTGATTTCCTGACAGAGGAGAACTCCTTGTCCGCTCCTCAGTTGCTGGCTCTGATGGGCAGGTATTTCTGTACTGGTTTCTGCAACGCGCTATGGCCTAGTGCAAGACAACGCAGGGCTCCTGCACCTTAAATAGGGGCACAGGAGAGGGAATTTCGGCTTGTCTGCTGCGATTTCCTCTTCTGCACAACCATTAAAAGGTGCGTGAAAGCTGTGCTTTTCCCTTTCCTTTATACTTTCTTTGCACCTGGCTAGTCTACTCGGACAGCCGACTCCAGTGGGTAAGAGATTCTGTAGATTCTGAGACTAGGATCTGCCAGTACAGTGATACCTCAGGTTAAGTACTTAATTCGTTTCGGAGGTCCGTTCTTAACCTGAAACTGTTCTTAACCTGAAAACCACTTTAGTTAATGGGACCTCCTGCTGCTGCCGCGCTGCCAGAGCCCGATTTCTGTTCTTATCCTGAAGCAAAGTTCTTAACCTGAAGCACTATTTCTGGATTAGCGGAGTGTGTAACCTGAAGCGCATGTAACCTGAAGCGTATGTAACCCGAGGTACCACTGTAGATCTTGGGTTGGTTTGAATTTCCTGCTGCAGATTGTTTTGACAACAGAAGCAACAAAGCAGCATGTGGCACGCTGCTGAATAAAAATAGGGTGAGCAGAAGTGTGTGTCTGTGGTACGGGTGTGAGAAATACCGTAGTTCAGTTCTGGCACTCCGAACAAGTTTATGGGCTGAGAAATTTTAAGGGTAAATTTTTTCGCCTCAGACTCCACTTGCTGGATCTCAGGCTTTGTAGAGATTGGAAGAATCAACTGAAAATGAAAGAAAGCCATTAGGAAAAAGATACTTTGGCAAGCATTTAAATCACAGGTAGGCAAACTAAGGCCTGGGGGCCAGATCCGGCCCAATTGCCTTCTCAATCCGTCCTGCGGACGGTCCGGGAATCAGTGTTTTTACATGAGTAGAATATGTGCTTTTATTTAAAATGCATCTCTGGGTTATTTGTGGGGCATAGGAATTCGTTCATTCCCCCCCCAAAAAAATATATATAGTCCAGCCCCCCACAAGGTCTGAGGGACAGTGAACTGTTGAAAAAGTTTGCTGACCCCTGATTTAAATCATGGATAGGCAAACTAAGGCCAGGGGGCCGGATCCAGCCCAATTGCCTTCTAATTCCGGGGGGTATGTTCAGCAGCTTAAAAATGTTCTATATGCTGTATAATGTATAGTGTTTTAGTTGCTTTTAAAAATTGTGATGTTTTTAATTGCATTGTGCTGTTTGCCATCTTGTAGTATGGCCTGCCTGGGCTCCTTCAGGGGGAAAGGCAGGTTAAAAACCAAACTGATAATAACAACAGAAGCACTCTTCTTTAAGCATAGAGAATCTTATTAACTGCCCCGAGATATAAATGAAGGGCTTTATATAAAATTAATAAATCATAATAATCCTGAAGGAGCTGCTCCTGTACAGATGCCCAGACAAGGGCTAGGACCATAGCACTCCTCCCAAGGCAATCTGGGTGGGGTAGTACCTATTTGATATATGTCATGGGACTCTCCACCACCAGATCAACCTCTTGGTGAATCAACCAGCAGGCGACTTGGTTGATATGCGTTATACGCAATGCCTAAGTCAAAGCTCCTTACATCTTTAACCAATGAAGTTGTGGCCTAATTTGAACCAAAAATAATGTCATGAGTGGTCTGATACACAGTGCAGGATGGTTGGCTCAGTACCTGTGAATGCAATTAATATCTTACCCCAATGTTGGTAACTTGACTTTGGCCCAATTTTGAGTTTGGACCTCTGAGCACTTTGATTGGCAGGTCTGCAGAAACAGCAGGGAAGGACTGTGGCTCAGCAACAGAGCTCCATGCAGAACAAACCGGGCTCATTCCCAGCATCCCAGCTCATTCCCTCCTGCTGCCACCGCACCACTGCCGCACAATTTCTGTTCTCATCCTGAAGCAAAATTCTTAACCCGAGGTACTATTTCTGGGTTAGTGGAGTCTGTAACCTGAAGCGTCTGTAACCCGAGGTACCACTGTATAGGGCTGGCAGAGAACTCTTTCTGAAACCTGGAGAGACATTGCCCATTAAACAGTACTGAATTAGATTGTTTGACTCCGTAGAAGGCAGAGTCCTATGTTCTTAGGCAGACAAAGATAGGATCTCAGTTTTTTCAACTTTTATTAACTTTCACTCAATACAACAGAGAAGAAGGCAAATACCCTTGAAAGGCCGAAGTGAAAACAAGAGGCAAAGGGGGAAGAGAGGAGTATTTCTTCATTGCTGAGATGCTGCAAAAGAGACATTATAAGAGAAGTTTCATCAGCAGGAGAACTAGGAGGGGATATGCTAACGAGGGAGCAGCCCTGCTGGCTTGAGAGACCTTGGCCTGGGAACAGGTCACATTTCTCATATTAGGAAAGGCAGAAAGCGGTCTGTTCATTGATTGTAGTGTCTGGCAGCCAGATTCAGAAATGCAGCCCTTCATGGTGCTATTTACGACGTTCGTGTCTGCAAGGGAAATCAAAGGCGAGTCAGGAACTAGCGCGCACACAAAAAAACCCATCTGCTCAATTTAAAAAAATACCTATCCACGGTAGGACACATATATTTTATCCATCATGGCTGACCTTAAGCTGATATACCAAATTAGAACAAAGGAGCAAAAGAGGTTAAGGTATTATGATATTGTTATCTAAATATATGAGCAGGAATTGATAATTAGTATTATACAGTGGTACCTCTGGTTAAGAACTTATGGTAATTCGTTCTGGAAGTCCGTTCTTAACCTGAAACTGTTCTTAGCCTGAGGTACCACTTTAGCTAATGGGGCCTCCCGCTGCCGCCGTGCAATTTCTGTTCTCATCCTGAAGCAAAGTTCTTAACGCGAGGTACTACTTCCGGGTTAGCGGAGTCTGTAACCTGAAGCGTTTGTAACCCGAGGTACCACTGTAATTAACAATAATAATAAATTGAATATAAAGAATGAAATGTGAATCAGAGATAAATACGTAATATCAAGCAGCAATGGGGGAAAGTACGGACACATTGAGGACGAAGAGTGAGAAGTCAAAATTTGGTGTCATTTGGCATTGATTTGTTAAAATTTTGGAAAACTAATAAATATTATTTGGCAAACAAAAATACAAAAAAAGGGAACATCAGATGAAAAGGTCAACTGCAAATAGCCTAAGGATAGCAAAGAGGAGGTTTCAAGGAAATACCCAGTTTGTCAGACCATCTAAGCTCTTGCCATGGTTACCATGGTACAGTCTGTTTGCATCAGAACAGGTTCCCCTGACAATACAGAGCAAGACTGAAAGAGCCCAACCAACTGTTCGGCTTTCTAACCAAAATGGTTGCTGTGACTGGACTCGAAAGTTACCTGCCTTGAGCTACTAGACCGGAGGGGGCAGGGGGACCTCTGCCCCACTGGCCAATTTTGGCCTCCCAGGCACATGAGGGCATTTCCCTCAAGCCACACCCACCTGCCAAGACATCACTCATGACATCAGTTGATGGGCAGAAGGGTGGGGCTCAATTCTGCATCTGCTGCGGGTGCCTCCAGGGTGGTGTTTATTGTAGGCGTATTTTGCAACATGTTGTTGGCACACTAATAGGAAGTGGTGGGTTTCCAGTGCTACCACATTATTCCTGTCCGGAGGGGATTTAGCCACCAACGAAAGCAGGACAAAATTAAATATTTGTGGTAGGAAAAGTTATGGGATTTCAGCAGGATATGCACTGGTTCGAAATGAAGCAGTGACTGTCCCAGAACCTTTGCAGCAGCAGTCTTGAAAGGGAGAATCGTGTGTCATCACCGATAGCATCCTGAGTACAAATCATCATGAACACACAATCAAAAGACGACTGGATAAATCATTCTAGCTCATTATTGTCCGCTACTCTGACTGGCAGTGGCCCTCCAGAGTCTCGGGGAAGATCTTTTCTATCTATGGCCTTTAACTGGAGGTGTCAGTGATTCAGCTTGGGGTTTTTTGCAAGGAAAGTATGCTAGAAGCAACATTAACTACATCCATGCATTTAAGGTGCACACCTTTCTTTGGTAAATAGCAGCCACAAGAAATTCTGAGGGGACAAGGGGATGAAGAGGGCAGGGTTGGGGGAAAATTAACTCTTTCTCTCCCTGCCTCAGTCTCCACAAAAGTCACCTCTCTGAAGATGCTGTTTGCATCTCAGGAAAAGCTAGCCCTGAGCTACAATTCTTTCCAACTGATACTGAAAATCAATCCACATCCCATAGGAAGAAGAAAAACTGAAATGGACTGCAGCATCGGAAATCACAATTAGCAATACCTGTAACCGTGATAAAACCTATGCAGAAAGCATTCCCTCCAGTACAATAGACATATTCCTCAGGGCATTCATCATTTTTAGAATAGCAGGATGGGCAAAACTTTCCATTGACATCGGGGGGCATTCTTGGCACTGAAACATAAGAGGAATCAATTGAATTAAGGAAAGACAGTGTGGTGCAGATTAATTTAGACAAAGTATTCCTAGTCCTTACCTCCCACCTATGATCCCCTGCCCCCTGCAGTGTAGAAGCAGAAGCTTCCTAACCGTTTTTGATGCATGCTGTGTCTGTCTAGACAGAGTAGAAAGTGATTACTTCTTTCCTCATGGTGTTGGGCTAAAATGACTAATAATAATAATAATTTATATCCCGCCCATCTGGCTGGGTTTCCCCAGCCACTCCGGGCGACTCTCAACAGAATATTAAAAACACAATAAAACATCAAACATTAAAAAGTTCCCTAAACAGGGCTGCCTTCAGATGTCTTCTAAAAGTCAGATATTATTTTTTCCTTCGAAGACAGAGGTCCTCTGGCTGGGACAGGACGATATGGAATTGAGGGGGCAACTCCCATCTCTTGCGGGGGTGCAATTAGTGCCAGCACCGTCCGTTAGGAGTTTGGGTGTAATCTTCGATACCTCCCTCTCCATGGAGGCACAGATTGCAGCTATAAAAAAGGCGGCATTTTTTCATCTCCGCCAAGCTAAGCAGTTGGCTCCTTACCTCTCTCGCCCTGACCTAGCCACTGTGATCCACGCGACGGTCACCTCCAGACTGGATTATTGTAACTCGCTCTACGTGGGGCTGCCCCTGAGACTGACCCAGAAACTCCAGCGGGTGCAGAATGCCGCAGCGAGACTCCTTACGGGGTCTTCGCTGCGGGATCACATTCATCCGGTGCTATACCAGCTGCACTGGCTCCAGGTGGAGAACAGGATCAGGTTTAAGGTGCTGGTTTTAACCTTCAAAGCCCTATATGGCCTAGGACCCTCGTATCTACGGGACCGCCTCTCCTGGTATGCCCCACAGAGGAACTTACAGTCTTCAAATAAAAACATCTTGAAGGTCCCAGGCCACAGAGAGGTTAGGCTGGCCTCAACTAGAGCCAGGGCTTTTTCGGCTGCGGCTCCAACCTGGTGGAACGCTCTGTCACAAGAGACAAGGGCCCTGCAGGACTTGACATCTTTCCGCAGGGCCTGCAAGACAGAGCTGTTCCACCAGGCCTTTGGTCAGGGCGCAGCCTGACTCCCTCATTTGGCAATCTTTACAATACTTTAGTATTGCCATCAATTTTGATTTTAATTAATTCTTATGATGTTTTTATAATGTTGCACTATTTTAGTGTTGTTAGCCGCCCTGAGCCCGGCTTCGGCTGGGGAGGGCGGGATATAAATAAAATTTTTTATTATTATTATTATTATTATTATTATTATTATTATTATTATGGTTTATTTCCTTGACATCTGGTGGGAGGGCATTCCACAGGGCAGGTGCCACTACCGAGAAGGCCCTCTGCCTGGTTCCCTGTAGCTTCACTTCTCACAATGAGGGAACTGCCAGAAGGTCCACAGAGCTGGACCTCAGTGTCCGGGCTGAACGATGTGGGTGGAGATGCTCCTTCAGGTATACTGGGCCAAGGCCATTTAGAGCTTTAAAGATCAGCACCCTGACTTTGAATTGTGCTTGGAAACGTACTGGGAGCCAATGTAGGTCTTTCAGGAATGGTGTTATATGGTCCCGGCGGCCACTCCCAGTCACCAGTCTAGCTGCCGCATTCTGGATTAACTGTAGTTTCCGGGTCATCTTCAAAGGTAGCCCCACGTAGAGCACATTGCAGTAGTCCAAGCAGGACATAACTAGAGCATGCACCACTCTGGCGAGACAGTCTGCGGGCAGGTAGGGTCTCAGCCGGTGTACCAGATGGAGCTGGGAGACAGCTGCCCTGGACACAGAATTCACCTGCGCCTCCATGGACAGCTGTGAGTCCAAATTGACTCCCAGGCTGTGGACCTTGTCCTTCAGGGGCACAGTTACCCCATTCAAGACCAGGGAGTCCTCCACACCTGCCCTGCTGAATTCCTTCATGTGCCTGAAGGGCACATCCATTGATCTCCACACATCCATCGTTCTCTTTTTTTTTTTAATGATATTTATTGAAGCACAAGAATTTTTTTAAAAAAATACATCAAAAAAGAAAAATAAAAACACAAAAAGAAAAAGAGACAATAAAACCATTTTTCCATATTCTCCAAATTTCATTACCTTCTTTCCCTGACCTCCTCCCCCTCCCATCTCTTGTTTCTTGATTAGTAGTTGTCCCAGCAAATCCTTTCCACAGTTCATAATATTTTATCATTATGATATCTTACTCTAATCTCATTTTATCTTTTAAAAACAAACTTAAAGTTTAAAGCTCAAATCTCTCTTTTTTTAAAAAGAATTTCTCAATACCAACCCTTTTACCACATTCTTTAAGTATTTTAGCCAGAGCCAATTAATTCCATTTCAGCATTTTCCCAACATTCATAAAACTTTCTAATAATAGTTGTAATAATATAAGAAAGTTCAATTCAATCTTCTTCCAGCGTCCCCTTCCCCCGGTCCCGGGGTTGCCAGTCTTTTTTCCCCATTAGTCTAGCGCATTAACCTGGTGCCCTTATATCTGAGGCCTTCAAATCTCTTCCATGTCCCTTTCGCAGCTCTTCTTCATTTCTTCCTTTCAGTCGCAGGAACTCCAGCCTTGTAGTATTTTTGACCCTTTTCGACAAATCAGCCCCTTTCACATAATCCAGACTAAGCTCCATGTAGTGTTTTACAGCATGTTTCAGATTCCCTCCAAACTTAAAAAGCCCAACAGCTCCAAATCTCTGGCGGCCCATTTCCGGGCTGTGAAAGTGCAAACATCCCAACATAGGGGGTTCAAACCTACCCCCCATTTCTAGTCCAATCAAGACTTTATCTTTCATATCCAAAGGCTCATTTTCCTGCTGGGCCATAAGTCCCTCCATCTCTGGCTCCCAGGATTCAATAAAGTCCTATTCTTTTCGTTGTTTTGTCTTGGCACACTCCTGTTTTAATTCCTGAATGGGCTCCTTATGATTTTCCACTGCCTGATCAAGAGCACTGGCAGCTTTTGTCATAAAGTCCATCTTCTGACTTAATTGGTCCAATAGGGCATTTATGTTGCAGAGAGCACCCAACAGTGCTTCTGAAGTCATTGTCTTACAAGGTCACAGAACTCTTCCCATGATCAAAATCAGTAAACAGTTGCAGTTCCCAGGTTACAGTTTCATGGCTCCCCTCTAGGGGGAGAAGCTTCTGATTGTTCTTTACCTCGGGTACCCAAGGAACAAAGTATCTTCCTCAAAATATTCTGTCCATTTTCTTTTCTTTTAAAAGCGAAAAGAAACAATGGAGTCACAATGTTTCACTCCTTTTAACTATCTGTCAAAATATTTATTTCTGGTCAATGAGCTTCAAACGTCAAATCTGACCCCCCGCTCCAGGGGCAGGACGGTGGAAAATTACTTTACTTTCACTTTATTTCCGCAGGTTTTAACAAGTCAATAAACACACATCCATCGTTCTCCACACATCCATCTTTTGCCAGTTATGCTCCTTGTCAGACTTCTGGTCTGGGCAGAATGCCGGAAGAATGACCTGAGCTCTACGGAAAGGTTTGCTTTAGGAACAAACATACCCAGGATCCGTTTACAGCAAAGTTCTCTCAGGGCAGAAAACAGAAGGTTGCATATGCTACTAGTCCACTGAGATCCAATGGGGAAGCCCCAGAGGTAGTTTTCCAGGCAGCAAAGGAAGCTTCCAGGCTGAGCCTGATGCCTGGGAAACTGAGCCTGCGCACTCGCTCAACTGCAAATTGCGAGGGGGCATGGGGGCAGACCTCCAGGAGCGGGCTCAGCCCACCCCTCTAGTATATGCGGCACTGCCCCATCCTGCTCTGCCACCCGCTACCGAGCACAGGCAATTGACCAATTGAAACGTGCCCAGTTGGCCCACAACTGCACAAACATGCATGGTGCCAAACCCATACTTTAAAAATGGCAAAAACCTCCTTAAAAGAGCCCAGGAAGGGCAAAAGGCACAAAAACAGAGCCTAGCAACCCAACAAGCCTTTGCAAGTGCAATCCTAGGAGCATTTGACCGACCATTGAGGCCTGTGGAGAGTTGGGGGTGTGGAGGGAGTGAATGTCGTGGAGTTTGGCGTTGGTAAGTGCTGTTGGTTTTAAAGGGTTTCCAGAGGTTTTGAGGTTATTTGGAGGCTTTTCCAATGGTGTTTCAAATATACTCGATTTCACATAAATGCTCGGGGCCTCGGAACATAACCCTTGTGCAAATTGGGAGTTGCCGGTAAAATAATACCTACATTCAGGGGAATCTGGCGAACAATTCTCCTTTGAGCAGCAGACAGTGCTTTCCCTGATGTGTTTATCCTGTCCAAGATAAATCTCGAACCATATTTTGCAGAGGTCAGGGGAAAGGCAGCCCTTCACTACTTTTGTAACTGTGGTGTTATCTGCAGAAAACAAGAAAGGAGGGTATATTTAGAAGGCGTAAGGGGATGCCTGCAGAATCCTCGTGGGTTATGCGTCAAATGGGCATGCACGACAGGCGATGGAGATGCACAAAGCATACACAAGCTAACCTTTTTCACTTCAAGGGCGGCATGACATAACTGGGCAGAAAGTGAAAACCAGACTGAGGTAAGGAACAAAACTGGGCGGGGTAAATCCCAGAGCCCCAAAGGAGATTTAAGTGTGAGAATCTCACCCTTCCTTAGTATGCAGTATGCTATTCAATAAGGCTTAAAATATTGAGTCCCCACCCCAATACGCATTTATAGACAGGAAAATGGAGGCACAATGAGTTACGGTATATAATGAGAAGAGACACTATTCCTCTTGGGCAGTAGAGGCCCAGCCAATACACCCTGAGCTAAGGTTTGGGCTGTCTTTCTGAGAACGAGGGTAAAACCCAACATATGGCTTTGAATGCCATGACCCTACTTGCTTTCTCCACACTTCACACACAAGGATGAGACAGTTGCTCAGTAGCAGGGCTAATGTCCTGCACACAGAAGGCAAGAGATTCTCTCACATTCGAGGATGTGAGCAGCCCTCCAGGTTGGGAAGGACCAATGTTGCCAGTGGATTCATAAGTTTTGCACAAAACTGCAGTCTATTCACTCCTATGGTCCACCTTTTGGGCGTTCTGCCAAAGTCATGTAACACACATCATCAGCAGAAGGGCAAGGTTCCTTTGTGCCAGTGCAGAATGTTTGTCCACGGCAAACTACACATTCCAAAGAGGCACCTGGAGAAAGGGAAGAGAAGACAATTGCATGAATGATACAGGGTAGGTAGAATTCAAAGCTGTAGAGTAGAGGGTTGATATGGCTGCCCCTCTACTTTTGTTTTGTATTTATTTTTAAACCACTCAGAACTCTTTCTGGCATCCTTTTTACTGCATATTCTAGATGACTTGTACTCAACAGTGATACTAGGGCAGTCATACACATTTCAGTGCTGTTTAAGCCGGCAAATGTTTTTGAGCGGTCACATTGCATCATTTCCAATCAGGGTATTCCCCCCCACAAAAAAAAAATCTGCTCCACACAACAATAATGCAATAGCATTGGGGAAGCTCTCCAGAACAAAGTAAAGCAGAGCATATCCACCAGTAATACATTGCTATTGTATTAATGACATTATTGCAAAATATACCCACAACAAAACAGGGTCTCCAAAACCTTGTGGCTATAAGCAAGGCTCTGTGCGCTTCATATACTCCTTATTTATTTTAAAAATGAACCTGTATGCCCGATAAAGGAGCAAATTTACATTAAGTACATTTTTGCCCTCCTCTGTTTCTCTGGAATCAGAGCACGCACACAGACCCTATTCATGCATTGCTCTTGTATACAGCAGTTAGGTTCGTAGATAGCAGATAGGATTGGGACCGTACTTTTAGCCTTGCCCATGACATTGCATCTTACCATAAGCATGTGTTGGGTGTCTGCCGGGTGTACCCAGGCACCACCTAATGTTTTAAAAAACCAGTGACCAAGAGAAGCAGACAGAGAGAGGCACAGGCAGAATAAAAAGGCTAGAATGGATCTGCAGCTTCTGTCTGCATCTCTCTCTGGAAGTGGCAATGGCGTGATTGGCTCCAGCGGTGGCAGTAAAGGAGAAGGAGGACCTGGGTTTTTTAGTTTTTTAAGTTTGGCGCTTTTTTTGCTATTTTGCGTTTTTGTTTTTGAGGCTTTTTTGAAAATGCCGATTAATTTTCCCAAGGATAAAAAAAAAAAAATCTCAAACTCATGCAGAAATATGGAGAACTAAATTTAAATTGGAAAAATGATGAGCTGAGAGAGAAAAAATGAAGTTGACAGATTCAGCCATCCCTACTGGATAGTCATGTAAATAAATAGACACCAAGTCATACCAGCTTGGATGTAATTCAGTGTTTTGCAGTCGATGACCTGGGATTATGAGAGTTGCAGTGCAGGCAGTGGCGTAGCGTGGGGGGTGCATGGGGGGCCGGCCGCACCAGGCGCAACATCTGGGGGTTAGGGTTAGGGGGCGCAAATCCACGGGTTAGGGGGCGCAAATTACTTGCCTCGCCCCGGGTGCTGACAACCCACGCTATGCCACTGAGTCCAGGGCCTCTAGGCTGAAGAACACAGATTTCCTAATGAAATAAATCTCCCACTCTGATACCATTAGGAGCTTCCAGCTGCCCCTTACCTGTAGTTAGCAGAGAGAAGAAGAAAATTCCCAGAAGGGCCTGCATGGCGATGGTTCAAAAGCTCCTTCAATGAAGCAAATGTTGTGACTCAAAGTATCTGCTAAAACATTCACGGCAGCAAGATAAATAAAAATATAAGACTTGTTGCCCAGCAGGAAATTCATTACCACAAGCTGAAAACATGAATTCCAGGTAGAGGTGACCTATGCTTTGCCCAAAGAGTCATGTTGGCAATTGAGCAAGCAGCTGAGGTCTGGTTTTTGCAAGCTCTCTGTCTTCCTGAAGACACAGTCCAGCTGCACAGTGGTACCTTGGCACTCAAATGCCTTGGTACGCAAATGCCAAAAACCCGGAAGTAAGTGTTCCGGTTTTCGAATGTTTTTCGGAAGCCAAATGTCCGATGCAGCTGTCGGCTATTGTTTCCAGGGCGCCTTCACCAATCAGAAGCTGCGCCTTGGTTTTGGAACATTTCAGAAGTCAAACCGACTTCTGGAATGATTAAGTTTGGTACTCCCCCACCCCCTTTTTTTTTTGCTTTTTTGGTTTTGAGGCTTTTTTGATTAATTTGTTTTAGTGACTGTGTGGAACCCAGTTCAGCTACTGATTGATTGATTGTGTGACTGCAGAAATGGATAAAAGCGCCCCCCCCCAAAAAAAACCCCAATGACTATCATTTAATTTTAATTATCTACAATACTGTCTTATTTATTTTATAGTACAGTACATTGATTATTGCTTTCATTTTATGGACCTATGGTCTCGTTAGATAGTAAAATTCATGTTAAATTGCTGTTCTATGGGTTGTTTTTAAAAGTCTGGAATGGATTAATCCGTTTTGCATTACTTTCTATGGGAAAGCGCGCATTGGTTTTGGAACACTTTGGTTTTGGAGCGGATTAAGTTTGAGAACCAAGGTACTACTGTACACCTAAACAAGAGGCTTCTTTCTGCTGTGCAAAGAATCCTAATATGCTTCTCAAATGCTCATCTCATGCTCCCAAAATATCTGAAACAAATTACAGGAAACTCCCCAGCCATGTTGGAGGATTGGTAGAGCCTACAAAAATTTGGAGCTGGCACTGCACCCAGTCAGGCTTTTGATTCTCCTTGGCAGGAGACACTCACCCCTCACAGTCATCTGTTGCAGAGGGGTATCAGGCACTGGCCTCTGTCTACCCCACTGAAGGAGCAAATAAATTTGGATTTGAACCTGGGACCCTCTGCACGCAAAGCAGATGCTTTGCCACTGAGCTGCAAATTTCCCACAAGAGACGGGCAGGATCAGACCAAACCTAGCCCAACCAATTATGTCACCTGGTTATTATGAGAGCAACTGTTTAAGAACTGGTGCATGCATTTGATTCCACACACACACCCTTCCCTCTCTACCTCTTTTCCCTCATGTAACACATTTTTTAAGACTGTAAAAGTCTGTCTTGTTTTTAATTGATTGCACATGAGCCACTCTGGGAGCCTTTTTGGCATAAGGGCAAGGTACGAATGCTCCAAATAAATAAATAAAGTAAGCCAAAAAGGAGGTAGCTGGGGTTATTGGTTTGTTTTGGTTCTTACTTTTATTATGCATTTGGGGGTTTTTATAGAATTTTTTTGTTGCAAATCACCCTGAGATCTATGGATGGACAGTTAATAATAATAATAATAATAATAATAATAATAATAATAATAATCAGTGCTTTTTTCTGGGGGTACGCAAGGGTATGCATACCCCTAAACATTTTGTAAATCTTTGTACTTTTGTTCATGTACTGTATTTATTTCCCCCCGATTTGAACTATAAAATTGTGATTTTCTTGAGTCAAAATGAGAGTACCCCTAAGCATTTTTTAAAGGGGGAAAAAAGCACTGATAACAACAACAACAATCCAACTTCCCACTGTGGCCCAAACAGATGCCTTTACACAACCAGGAGATAGATAGATAGATAGATAGATAGATAGATAGATAGATAGATAGATAGATATGATATAAACATCCATGAGCCACTTTCTGTTCCATTTCTGTTCCACCCAGAGAACCTCTCAACCACCGTTCCTAGTGACCAGCGATACCTTCGCCTCTGCCAATTAATACTTATCCTCTTAAAACTGCCAAGCTGGTGGCTATAGGCAAACTCCAAGATACATAACACGGAAGGCAGGGGGGGAGGAGAATACGGCCAGATCCTTCCTTGTAAAGCTACAGCCCCACACAAGCTAACCCGCAGCCCATTAAAATCCAAATTGTTAGGCAACCCTGCATTAAATTCCAAATTGTTAGGCAATCCTACAGCAGGCATTTGCCCCGCTGGAGTCTGATGAGATATCTCTTATCTCAAGGCCGAGGGAGCTTAGGGGCTGGGGCAACCCCGTTTGGGTGGGTGGGGGAATAAGTCATTATTATTATTATTATTATTTATTATTATTATTATTATTATTATTATTATTATTATTATTATTATTATTATTATTTTATTATTATTATTATTATTATCATCATCATCATCATCATCATCATCATCATTAGGAAACTGGCAGGCCTTGGATTCATTAATTGTTTTGTTTTGTAAGGTGTATACCTACCGCCTGGGTAAAAAAATAAAAATAAAAACCTTCAAAGCGGATCAGAGCAGGAATGCAGGCTGAGGCCTAGTCCTATCCAGGCTAAGAGCCTTTGCCACCGCCACCCAGCCCTCTCCCCACCCCGGCTTCTTCTTCTCCCTACAAAATTGGGGAAGGGGCCTCTTCTTTTTGGCCTCTGCGTAACAAACCTCTCCAAACAGACTCCCAGCCACCAAGCGCCTCCGTTTTTGGACCCACCGTAAATGCAAAGCGCTACAGAACCGCTGTGGAACTGTCATGGCTCCCCACCCACCCCGGCCTAAGGATCCTGGGAACCAGTGCCGGATTTACGTATAAGATAAACAAGCTATAGCTTAGGGCCTCACTCTCTTGGGGGGGGGGATAAAGGAGGGAAAAACTGGATGTACGTTTCCAAAATATAAGATAAAAAAACAAATAAAACCTACATACAGCAACAGTCTTTTGTGTTGTGTAGGCTCCTATGATGTAAGTCATGGGCCCCGCCTGCTAGCCTGCTCCCTAAAATATCACTGGTTTGCTCATTTCTATATAAATTACTTTGATAAAATGCATATTTTGTTATGTGCAAATGGCTTTAGATACCTATTAGGTCCATAAATTACCATGTAGCATATATTCAGTACAAAAAAACAGTGATAATTTGTTGTTGACAAAGGAAAGCTGGACATATAAATGGCCCCATTAACTTCAGTAGTTTAGGGCCTCATCAAACCTAAACCTGGCCCCGCTGGGAACTATAGTTTATTATTTATTATTTATATTTTATTTATGCTTTTCAGGTTTATACATTTCACAAATTTAACTGTCTTTTTAACATTTCAAAACTTGACTTCCTTCCCCCTCTTTCTGCGGCTCCTTAAATTTATTTTCAATATCTTTTGCATATCCAAGTTAACTTAATTTGCTCATTTATTCATCCGCTTTGAATATATACTTCTATGAAACTGCAGGTTATTGCAACAATCCTGCCAATGTTCTTACCTGTTTACAATTTATCTGTAAACATTCAATAAGCCCTTCCCATTCTTTTATAAAATGTTTATCTTGATTTCTTATTCTTCCGGTAAGTTTCACCATTTATGCATATTTTGCATAAGTTTTTGGATCCATTCTTCCTTTACTGGGACTTCTGCTTCTTTCCATTTTGGGACGAGTAACATTCTTGTTGCTGTAGTAGCATACATGAATATGTTTCTATACACCTTAGGTAGTTCTGTCCCTCTAATTCCCAAAAGAAAAGCTTCTGGCTGTTTTACAAACGTTATTTTAAACATCGCTTTCGATTCATTGTATATCATTTTCCAGTAAGCTTTAACCTTACTACAAGACCACTGTAGCCTTATGAGGCTTTGCCCTCGGGTGGGAAAAATATTGTGCCTGGAAAAGGGAAGTGGGAGTCAACAGACACTCAAGGAATAGTTCGGAGAAAAGGCTTTTATTTCTACCATCCATGAACTGGTAGAAGGAGCAAATGTGATAAGTCGCAAAAAGCATGCACGAAGTTCACAGTCCTGTGCACAAGCATATATACCCCTTTCCAGTTCCCTCCTCCTTTCTCCTCCCTCAGGAGTCCTGCCCATGAGTTCCTCTGAGCATGAACAGAAAGCTGTCTTGGGACTCTTGGACTCTTGGCACTCTTCTCAAAGAAGCATCTAAAAAGGCTCCTTCCCCTGCTTCAGGTATCTTGCACCCTGCAATCAGCAGGCAAGGTCCTTGGAGCCAGGAAAGGGGGAATGAGAAGCCGAGGGGGTGGGTCGAGGAGCCCTGGTGGTTCAGCATGTCCAAGATGTTGCAACCGAATGAGATAAGATTCAGTTTCTCAGGCCTGCTATGAACAGAGCCTATTCATTAGCCTTTAAAAGTAACATTTTGCCTTTTGCCACAGCATCTTGTGAGAAAAGCAGAGAAGAGCAGAGAAAAGCTGTTTTGGATTTTTTAGAAGACAAAAGGAGTTTTGGACAGTTTTGAGGCCTGGGGTGATTATTAAAGCCTGGGGTGATTTCACAGACAGGATTTGGGTATTCTGTCCCTTCACCACCACATATGATAAAAAAGAACCTTATTTCTCTTTACATTTTCAACACTTATTTGATTTAGATTTATACATTTTTGCCAGTTTACTCGGTGTTAGATACCATCAATATATCATTTTCATATCCTGGGAACTATAGTTTAAGGGTGCTAGGAGTTGTTAGGGGTGGCTGCAAACTCCCCTGACAGAGCTACAATTCCCCAGGTGGTTTGAACAGATGGTCCCCGCCCCATTGCCTGACCTCCCCCCTCCCAAAAAAACCCTCTTCTCAAAGAAGCATCTAAAAAGGCTCCTTCCCCTGCTTCAGGTATCTTGCACCCTGCAATCAGCAGGCAAGGTCCTTGGAGCCAAGTTCTAGGGGCTGAAGTTACTTCAGCCCCCCAATAAAATATTTGAGGGGACTGCCCCACCAAAGTTGATGGGCATTGCCATTCGAATGGTGTGCACACACCAGGGGTTACCCAGGTCCCCCCAATATTTTATTCAAGTTGGCACCCCTGGAGGACAGGTGAGCCAGTGGCCGTCGACCTATGGTGGGACCTTTGCGGTGGCATTTCCCTGGTGAAGTTAATCTGCCTCCCTAGTTAATCAACTTTTAGGAAGAAATTAGAAACATTCCTGTTTTAGACACACATACTTACAGCTCCCATTTAGCCTTTTCATATCTCTTGAGTTGTTGCATAACATACCCTCCAACGTTTCTCCGATGAAAATGGGGACATCCTATTCCATCATCATCATTTTATTATTTATACCCCGCCCATCTGACTGGGTTGCCACAACCACTCTGGGCAGCTTCCAACATATATAAAAACAGAATAAAACTTTTTTTAAAACTTCCCTACGCAGGGCAGCCTTCAGATGTCTTCTAAACGTCGTATAGTTACTTATCCCCTTGGCTTGGGGGTTGCATAACTCCATACGCTCAAACATTTCTCCGATGAAAATAGGGACGTCCTACCTAAGGAAAAGTGGGACATTCTGGGATCAAATCAGAAACCAGGACGGCTTCTGTAAATCCAGGACCATCCCTGGAAAATAGGGAGACTTGGACGGTCTCTTATAAATATGCTGACATTTTTCAGTTGTACATTTGAAGGCTATACATTGAAAGTAAAAAAAAAATGGAGGTTAAAATATAGTGTATTATTACTGCTGACAATGACTAATAAAGATACTGGTAATTCGCTTCTGAGTGTGTGCTGGGGGACACAATCATTTCACAGGCATTCAATGGGTAAAAATACACTGTTCCTGCCAACCTGGAAATCAATGGTTGAATGTTTTTAGAATGCTTTAAAAATGTTTTATCTCGATATGTTTGCCATCTTGGGCTCCTTCAAAAGGAAGCATTGGATATAGATTACATAGACTACTATTATTATTACTACAGTGGTACCTCAGGTTACAATTCGTTCTGGAGGTCCGTTCTTAACCTGAAACTGTTCTTAACCTGAAGACCACTTTAGCTAATGGGGCCTCCCGCTGCTGCCGTGCCGCCAAAGCACAATTTCTGTTCTCATCCTGAAGCTAAGTTCTTAACCCAAGGTACTATTTCTGGGTTAGCAGAGTCTGTAACCTGAAGCGTATGTAACCTGAAGTGTACGTAACCCGAGGTACCACTGTACTACTATTAATTATAATATCATCCATTGATTGCCTTATCCTCCACAAATTTGTGAAAATTTATTTGTGTACCACCTATTAGTGGTACACCCTCAGTGAGTGCAAAATTGGCCATGGTAAGGACATTTTCAGAAACATCCCTACTGTGTACAAATATCATTTCCATTTATTAATTTACCTGACCCTCCAAGCATTCATTTTCTTTTTTTCTTTTTTATATAATTTTCTCATTTTTACATCCTTAAGATATCAATGACTTCCTTTCTTCTCTTTCCATGGTTCATTTTGCATATCATACTGTAAATCCCTGCATATTTTACAAAAACTATACCATTCAGTATTCTATTATTACATCCATCAAAACTTATTTACACTGTTGAATTTATGTTAATGCTGCCAGCGTTTTCATGTACACAGTTATTTACCATATATTCAATAAACATTTTCCAGTCTTCTCTAAATGTATGTTCTTCTTGTTCTCTTATTCTATATGTTAAGTCTGCAAGCTGCGCATATTCTGTCAACTTAAGCTGCCATTCTTCTTTGGTTGGGACCTTGCTTGTTTTCCATTTTGGGGCTAACAGAACACAGGCTGCAGCAGTGCATACATAACCTTTTTTGACACCTGGGAATTTCAGTCTGAATTATCCCCAACAGAATGGACTCAGGGGTTTTTTTGGAAAGTACTTCTGAACATTTTTTCAATTCATTATGGATCATTTCCCAATACAGTGGTGCCCCGCAAGACGAATGCCTCGCAAGACGGAAAACCCGCTAGACGAAAGGGTTTTCCGTTTTTGAGTTGCTTCGCAAGACGATTTTCCCTATGGGCTTGCTTCGCAAGACAAAAACGTCTTGCAAGTCTTGTGATTTTTTTCCCCACTTTCCCCCCCCTTTTTTCTAAGCCGCTAAGCCACTAATAGCCTTTTAGCAGCTAAGCCGCTAAGCCTTTAATAGCCGCTAAGCCGCTAATAGCGCTAATCCGCTAAGCGGGTTGCTTCGCAAGACGAAAAAACCGCTAGACGAAGAGACTCGCGGAATGGATTATTTTCGTCTTGCGAGGCACCACTGTACACTTTTACCCTTTTACAAGTCCACCACATATGAAAGAAGGTTCCATCAACCTCTTTGCATCCCCAGGACTTATCTGATTCAGTCTTATACATCTTAGCAAGCCTACTTGGAATTAAATACCATTCTCAAGCATTCATTTTCTAATCAGATAGAAGCACATCAAACAAGATTACTGCTCGAGAAGCTGCAGGATACATATGGATTGCGGCTAGCATCATGTGGCTTCAAACACCAGCTGTGGGAGATTATCAAAGTGGGTAAGGTGTACCCGGTCCAAGTTTTGGATGGCTTGGCAGAGATTACCTATTCTTTCTCTTACCTAAACACTCAGAGGCAGAGGAGCGAAGGTTTCTCTTTTATACCTTCCAGCCTCCCCAAACTTGCCAGAATGCAGTAAAATGCCCCTCTTCATTTACTAGCAAAGCTGTTTGCTCAAGCTATCATGGGAGCCAGATTATTAAGAGAGTTGAGACAGGTCTGACTTGTTCATGTGCTTTATTACCACTAACTTAAATCCAAACAAAGCTGTTCCTGGGTGGTGACATCATCTATTACTTATTAAATTTATAGACCACCTTTCATCCGAAGATCACATAGTTGTTCACAACTTCAAAAGCTGTAGCTGGGCAGAGGTTCAACCCCCTTTCTGCTAGATTCCCCTAGATTCCGAGGGATGGAAAATTCTTTACCTTAAGCTGGGGTTGCACAGGAAAGCAGGTCTCCTGCCTGTGTGGGGTGCAGTTGGGTAGGGCATGCTGCAAGGGGCAGGACTGGATCAATACTATTTATGAAAGTATCACATTCTTAGTCCATCCTTCCTCCAAGCATGTTCAGGGTTCCAAATATTGGATTCAGGGGAGAAACTGGGGAATCAGCTCTGATCAACAGAAACAGACAAAAACTGAACCTTGTTTCTATTCCAGCATTCATTCATCTTCTCTCTCAGCAAAACATTGGATCTATTCCATCAGCACTTTCTGAGTCCACCCTTCCCTCAAGAAGGTCAGGGCTGCTCCCAATGTCTCGATGTTGAAAGGAGGCAAATAATTATTTCACCTCTGATCCCTGGGCAGTGGATCTATCTGATCAGTGGATCAATAGAACAGGGAAATGGCACTGACTCACACCCCCCCACACTTTTATTTTATTTTATTTTATTTGTTTCACTCAATAAAACATAGAGGAAGGCAAATCCCTCTGAAACTCAAAAACAAGAGGCATCTTTCTTCAGCGGTGAAATGGTGCAAGAAGCTCATTACAAAAGAAGCTTCATCAGCAGGAGAGCCAGGAGAAGGAATCTGAATGGGAGGGGAAAGGAGAGAGGAGGAGGAGGAGGAGAAGAAGAGGTGGCTGCCATGGCTGGGGTACATTGAACATTTTTAACACGATTAACATCATGAAAAATCCCTCCGTCAAATGTTTTTAAGTGGGTGCAGATGCCTTCACGAGTGCAGCCCTTCCTGGAGCTGATTACGACATTCTCCTCTGTGCGTAAAAACAAAAAGATGAGTGGTCAGAAGATCCAGTAACTGATACACACACGCCGAAAAATGCATCTAACCACGATATATAGCGTTACATGCCACTCCAATCTCCACCAAGCGTCTGCGTGAGACTGGGGGTTCCAGGCACTTTCCTAGGGTCATGTTTCCGTTGGGAATCAAGGCACAGTGAAGACTAGTGTCTTAAAAATATATATGGCTTATTTTACACATATTTATACCTAAAGCCTTCCATTGAAGGAGTGCAGAATATGATGCCCCAGGAATGTCCCTCATTGCCCCTCTAGTAACTTCAATGATCTTGGGTTCAAAGCAGCAGCCCACCATGGCTCTGGAGTTCTCACCTTTGTTCCCCTCCTTCCTCCAAGAACACCTTGCCAAACGCAACACCTCCCCTTCTGTCTGCTCCTCCCCACACACACACACTGGGGAGACCTGTTTTTTTCAAAAGGACGGCATTTTTCCTGTGTGACATCACACCCACGTTACCCTGGCAACCTCCTTTGGTGGGCTATCAACCCCTTCAGTCATGCTTAACATCTTCCATCCCAAGCGATACCTTGAAAAACAAACTGAGCTTGCATTTTATTTTGTTTTTTACACTGCTAAGCTATATCTCACCCAGGGGAAAACTCCAAGCATTTAGTAATTTCTAGCACTCAGTAATTTCTAACATCCACTAACTTCTTTGAATTGCAGGTGCTTTTACACCCCCAAACTCTGGGGCTATGCCCTTGCGCGTACCTCCCCAACCAACCTCAACAAGTAAGCAAAGCAAACTAAAAGCCTGAGCAAAAAGCCTGTCACGGGGGAGCACGGGGATGCTGGTCCCCATCAGTCTTAGATTGGAAAGGTCTCTCTCCTTATTGAGAAAACATTAAAGAGCTGATTGATTGTAAACAGTCCTAGGTGCCAGACTTGCAGGGCTGAACTGCTGCTGCGCCAAATCCTTGAAGGACAAGTTAGCTACCCAGCAAAGGGACGCGGGTGGCGCTGTGGGTAAAACCTCAGTGCCTAGGACTTGCTGATCGTAAGGTCGGCGGTTCGAATCCCCGTGACGGGGTGAGCTCCCGTCGTTCGGTCCCAGCTCCTGCCAACCTAGCAGTTTGAAAGCACCCCTAAGTGCAAGTAGATAAATAGGGACCGCTTTATAGCGGGAAGGTAAACGGCGTTTCCGTGTTCGGCGCTGGTGCTGGCTCGCCAGATGCAGCTTCGTCACACTGGCCACGTGACCCAGAAGTGTCTTCGGACAGCGCCAGCTCCCGGCCTCTTGAGCGAGATGAGCGCGCAACCCTAGAGTCGGTCACGACTGGCCCTGACGGGCAGGGGTACCTTTACCTTTAAAGACCCTTCACTGCAATTCTTATTGGCTAACGTTACTAACGGGGACACGGGTGGCGCTGTGGGTAAAAGCCTCAGCGCCTAGGGCTTGCCGATCGAAAGGTTGGCGGTTAGATAAATAGGGACCGCTTACCAGCGGGAAGGTAAACGGCGTTCCGTGTGCTGCGCTGGCTCGCCAGATGCAGCTTTGTCACGCTGGCCACGTGACCCGGAAGTGTCTCCGGACAGCGCTGGCCCCCGGCCTCTTGAGTGAGATGGGCGCACAACCCCAGAGTATGTCAAGACTGGCCCGTACGGGCAGGGGTACCTTTACCTTTACCTTTTTAACGTCACTAACAAGTGGGCTCATCCTTCCTGGCTAAAATCACTACTAGGATGGGAGGATAGCAGCCCATGCTAACCTCCCAGGGAACCTCCCTGCCTTACTCATTGGGGCTCAGCATTTCTGCGACTGCTATGTACGTATCAAGAAAGCATGCATGTTAATTGCATTCATGCTGTTTGCATCAAATCCAGCTTGGCCCAAGCTACTATCCAACAGCGCTGCTAAAAGGCATTTCACACAGCAGGAGTAGCAAAAGCTTAAAAGGGTCGTAGCAATAGAATCAGAAATACCTGAAAGTGTGACATAACTAACACAGTAAGTTTCAGATCCAATACATTCTGTGACCGCTGCAGAACAGTTGCCTTTGTTAGACGAGCAGCCTGGGCAAATCTTCCCATTGGCTATGGTTTTCCGTTCTGGAACTGAAAAGCAAAAGGAGTGTGAGAGGTTCAAGGGAGCTTGTGTAAGTGCCGTTCTCCTTAGAAAGACCCCCCCCCTACGGATGAAGTAGAGTTTTGTTTGCATCACATTTTTAAGCAAAGCGGCCTAATTTGCACCCCCTGGACCCATGGTTTGGTTCCCAACGTGGGGGCAATTTTATTTTTAAGGAGGGCAATTTGAGAATGAGTTAGACCAAGTTAATGGCCTTTTAGCTTCCTCCACGTGAATAGGAGTTCACTTTTTGAATAATAAGAATTATATGTCATGGAGGGTGGGGGGACATTGGGATTTTAGAGATGCTTAGGTGGGGCATGGCCAAAAAAGGTTGGGAACCACTGCCCAAGACCAATACAAAATTCAGCAAAGTTAGGAACCCCTGAAACCGCCTCGTTGCCTCCACAAGGCAGAGGGCTGAAGGATGTGCAATGGCTCTGGGAGCTTTCCAGGGCTCTCCTGTGACCTTCTCAGAATTCGATAAGCAAGGGAAACCTGCTGGGTGTGCAGGTGGTGGTAGGAATAAATAAATGAAGAACAGGGAATAGTGGGTTCCCCTGCTCTTCATATATTTATTCCCCTCCCCCTGCCACCACCCCCAGCTTGCCTAAGGTTGTGCTAGCATAAGTAATCAGATCCTAAGCTGCGGGCCCCTTATAATGTGATTTGTACTTCTCCAAATTCTGTTGTACAATACTTGGCTCAAAACACATACCAAAAGGTATTTAAAAAATATAAATGGTATCTCAGGATAAAATACATTTAGAAATGTTGGTGTTTAGGTAAATTACATATTTAATGCTAAAATGTGCACCAGAACCATATTTACGGTAAATATTTCTACAGGTTTTTTATTTTAAAATATCCATAGATTGATGCAGAAAGAGGACAGCCTAAACATATGAATAAACACATGCAAGGGTACCATAGACCAGGAACAAAATTATGGGTCCATCTCTGAACTGAACTAAGGATGGGTAGATCAGCTTATTTCCGGTCCTTGACACTTTTGCATGTGTTTGTCACTTCTTGTTCCGTCCAGTTTCTGCAATAATTTCTAATTTTTTAAAAAACAAAAACCTATAGAACAAATTGCGTTCTTGAGGTATTTAAATACACATTTAAAGGCATATTTCCTTCACACATACTATTGTTACCTTAACTTTTTGAAAGTCTTAAATTATTGTTGTTAATTTTTCTTATTTATAATTTTATTGAGGTGTCTTTTTTGTAAACGGTGGGGGTTTTTCATAATCAACTATTGTATAAATTTCAAGAAATAAAAACAGATACAAATGAAAGATCTCAGCAGTGTCTGGAGCTGGAGCGAGGATCAGCAGAACAACAACGGGAAAGTTTTAATTTCAGTCAAAGGACACCTGGTGACAAGCCACGATTTATCCCACGTGGAGAGGCTGCATCTCCTACCACACATCGTAAAAAAGAGTTGAGATGATGATGATGATTATTATTATTATTACCGAACCCATCCGGCTGAGTTTCCACAGCCACTCTGGGTGGTTCCCAACAGATTAAAAACAGAATAAAACATCAAATATTAAAAACTTCTCTAAACAGGGCTGTCTTCAAATGTCTTCTGAAAGTCAGATAGTTGTTTATTTCCTTGACATCTGGTGGGAGGGCGTTCCACAGGGCGGGCGCCACTACCGAGAAGGCGCTGTGCCTGGTTCCCTGTAGCTTCTCTTTTCGCAGGGAGGGAACTGCCAGAAGGCCCTCGGCGCTGGACCTCAGTGTCCGGGCTGAACGATGGAGGTAGAGAAGCTCCTTCAGGTATACTGGGCTGAAGCCGTTTAGGGCTTTAAAGGTCAGCACCAACACTTTGAATTGTGCTTAGAAACGTACTGGGAGCCAATGTAGCCCCCAAGGGCTGTTGCCTCCTAGGTCAAGCCCTACTGCAGCTTGTGCCCTCCAGAAGTTTTGGAACACAACTCCCATCATTTTTCACCATTGACCATGCTGGCTGGAGTTGAAAGGAGTTGCAATCCAAAGCTTCTCGAAGCCACAACCCTTGGAGAAGGCTGCCCTACAGCTGCTCAGTACTGCCTGGCGAATCATCTACCTCTCAGTGGGCCACTGAAAATATTGTTCCAACCCTGGAAAATAATCTGTGTTTGTAACATAGATCCTTTCAAATTTTCAGAGATGTTGCTTCTTGCCCATGTACTGTAGTGACTCAGCAGTCCTTTCTCATTAGTATTTATTGTTTACCGGAAGGTTCCAGGCTGTCTGAGCCCTCCTTATATAACTGTGTGCAGGTGTGAGAGCCAGTCAGTCTTCCTTTCGTTTTCAAGCTATTCAAGTTCACTGCCTTCTCTCTGTAACTGTTTTTTTGAAGCTATGCACACAGCCAGGGATCTGGCTGAGGGCTTGTAACCACTATGCTTATTGAAATGCTTTGGTAAAGCGTATTTGCTCATGGAGTGAGCTGTTTGTGCTGCCGGCACACTGCTGAGTTACTCTGCTGAGCTCTTTACATGCCCTGGAGTCTGAGGGAGTACTAGGCATGCATACCAAGAAAGTCCTGGGGGTGTCAGGACCCTAATCCTGACAAATGCAGCCAATTAATGAGAGTTTAAAGTATATTCTATGGGTCAAGATTTCATTAATTAATTGTTAGCCCTTCATCTGTTAGAAACCGAGACCGCACGGAATGGCCACCTCATGCAGACAGACAGAAAAAGGAGAAAACTTATACAAAAACAGAAACCTACGTATCGGAGTGGCTGGATTGCAGGCATTTCTTTCGCAACAGGTGGCAACCTGCCTTATGTGGCTCCCATTGCCATCAGTCATAGTGATCACACCAAAAAGGCAGATTTCAGAGTTTACACATCCCTTTGCCATGTATACATCCTTAACTACACAAAAAAGAAGAAAAGAGAGGATACATTTTGATGGTGAGAGGTGTTACCTGCTCAGTCGTAGTGTGCTATGAACTCGGGCATGCATGGAGGGAAGGGACCATGTCACAACTATTTATTTACAACAATACGATGACAGAATTATTATTTTTTTAAAAAAACAAGAAAACTGGCCTCAAGCAAAAAGGGTCAGTCTAAATCAGGCATCCTCAAACTCGGCCCTTCAGCTGTTTTGGAACTACAATTCCCATCATCCCTGACCACTGGTCCTGTTAGCTAGGGGTGATGGGAGTTGTAGTCCCAAAACAGCTGGAGGGCTGAGTTTGGGGATGTCTAGTCTAAATTAAATGAAAGAAATAGGCCCCACAAAACAAAATTTTCTAACTGTCAAAGGCCAAGGTAAACAGGTGGGTCTTCTTCAGCATATGGGGAAAGCTGTAGAAAGAAAGTGTCAAGTGCACCTCTATGGGGAGGGAGTTCCACATTTTAGGGCAGAGCTTTCCAAACTGTGTGTCGTGACACGTTGAAGCTGCAGTGTGTAGGTGTGTCACATGAACGGTCCCTGCTCTCCTCCCGGGGCTGGAAAGGGGTTAGTTTAACCTCTGGTTCGCGAGCAAAACTAAATTACTGTGTCGCGAAATGATGCGTGTCTAAAAAGTGTGTCACCAACATGAAAAGTTTGGAAAGCTCTGTTTTAGGGGCTGCCACAGAGAAAGCCAGGCTCCCTTTCCCTGCACTTCTATGGATAGTGGAACTGCTGAGGGAGGCACCTCTGCTAATTTCAACACCTGTAAGGAACTGCAGACATAGAGGCAGACTTTCAGATATCATGGGTCTAAGTTGTTTAAACACCAATATTTCGAACACCTTGACTTGGGCCTAGAAGCAAGATGATAACCAGTGCAGTTGTTTTTAAAACAAGGATGGTAAGAGCTCTAAATAGAACCCCATCCAGTAACGTAGTCATTGCATTTTGTATCCGTTGAAGTTTCTGCATCATCTTTAAGGGCTGCCTCACATAGACAACACTGCAGCCAGAGCCGTCTTTCCCATAGGGCTTAGTGGTGTGTTGCGCCAGGGCGCAGGCCTCTCAGGGGCGCCCCAGGAAGGTGGGGGAGCTGCATGGCTTTGCCGGTGCCCCCCCCTTTACCTGCACACCTGCCAGCTGCGCCCCACCAACTATATGGCTGGTGGGTGGACGGGCAGCTTGCATCCCAAGCTTCTGCGGGAGAAGAGTGATCCCCGCAGAGGCTTAGGGTGGAAGCTGCGCCCCGCCAACTTTATGGCTGGCGGGCTCGCAGCTTCCCTCCCAAGCCTCTGCGGGGATTGTTCTCCTGCAGTGGCATGGGGGAGAGTTGCAGGGGCCCCCATAGCTGACAGTGCGCAGCTTCGCCCCCACTATCCATGGTAATTTGGAGGTGCTGGGCGGATATTTGCTCTCCGGCGCCGCATTTGCAAAGACAGCCCTGATTGCAGCAGTCCAATATTAAGACACACTGAAGGCTTAATCTAGGCCTTAAGTATAATCGACCCCCCTCACCCCAAGTATAGCTTTGATTCCCAAGAACCTACAGTGGTGCCTCGCAAGACGAAAAGAATTCGTTCCGCGAGTCTTTTCGTCTTGCGATGTTTTTCGTCTTGCGAAGCACGGTCCGTCGCAACCGCGCCTCTTCAAGCGGCTTTAAAAAAAAAAGCGCAAGACGTTTTCATCTTGCGAAGCAAGCCCATAGGGAAATTCGTCTAGCGAAGCAACACAAAACCGAAAAACCCTTTCGTCTAGCGAGTTTTCCGTCTTGCGAGGCATTCATCTTGCAGGGCACCACTGTACCAGCTCTCTCTGTGGGGCTAATAGTAGTAGCAGAAACCAAGTTCTGCACAGAGGGCCTCAGATGTGTTCTCTGGTTAAAATATATAACACCCCTGGCTGGCAAAAAGAACAGGTCTCTGCTGGAAGCCTGGGATGAATTCAGAGTGGACGATACTGGGCAAAATGGAGAACTGATCTCACTCAATATTAGGTGGCACTACTCATTCACATATTTTGCACAAAAATGTGGCCTATTCGATATATGGCCTGGTTGACTTATGATCCCTCTTATCCACCTTTACTGTTTTCAAGCAGAGAGCTGGAACAGGCGTCAAATTCTTCAGGACAAATCTCCCTCTCGCTTGTGCAGTTGTTGACTCCATTGCAAATCTCACACTCTAAAGAGGCACCTGAAGGAGGGAACAGAAGGGCTTTCATGTAGTGTATGGCATGCACAGAGTTCAAAGTTATCAACTCCGGAAGAGGGTGTCAAGTCCAAATGAATTGCTAATGCAGTGCTCTAACATAAAACTAGATGACCCTTAGGTCCCTTCCAGCTCTGCGATTCTATGATTTGCGATATACAGTATTGCCAGGTCAAAAATTATGAATACAGTGGTAGCTCGGGTTACAGATGCTTCAGGTTACAGACTCTGCTAACCCAGAAATAGTACCTCGGGTTAAGAACTTTGCTTCAGGATGAGAACAGAAATCACGTGGTGGCAGCGGGAGGCCCCATTAGCTAAAGTGGTACCTCAGGTTAAGAACGGACCTCCAGAACGAATTAAGTTCTTCACCCGAGGTACCACTGTACATATAAATTAACTACACATATAAATTAATATACACAAATTTTATGCAAAGAGTATTTTCTGGTTGTCATTGTTCTTTGATCATGCATTTTCTCATTTTATGAACAACGTGAAAGCAGTTCCCCCTACTTGGATCTGAACGGCTGCATTGGTCCAAATGTAATAATTTTCCTTTTCTGCAAAGCTAAAAGTAACATACAGTTCAAGGCAACAGCGGTTGGTCATGGTGACAGGGGCTGTGTTGTTCCTCCTCCTTCTCAATGCCATTGTCCCCAATGTTGCTGCCAGTTCTTGGGTGGCAGGGAGTCAGCATGCCGCCGGCACAGCAGCAAAGCTAATCTGATATTCCCAATATTGCACTTGTGCCATGGCAACCTCCCCACTGCTTTGCCTCTCTCCCTCTAAGTAACCAGCAGCAAATCGTGGCACTGGAAAGCCAAGAGTGCAATGCAGCCCCATCCTGCCCTGCTGGCCCCTACTGGTTCCAGGGCATGTGCAGAGTTCCAGATGTCCTGAGTTACTCAGTGGCACCCATCCCATAGTGAGCTTACCTGTAGTTAGATGTACAGAGAAGAGGAAAAGCCCCAAGAGAAACTTCATGTTGATGGGAAGCACACGGTGTGAAGCCTAGGAGAAAGGAAGCAAATTTTGTGGCTTGAAGGACCTGCAGAATACTCAAAGCAGTGGCGTAAACAAACAAACAAACCAACAAACACCAAAACAGTAAAGGTAAATAAACCCACAGGAAATTCGCTGTAATAAGCTGCAAAGAGGAGTTTCAGTTAAAAGTGGTCTAATCTATGGAAGAAAAGCCATATTGACAATCTGCTCAGCAGCGGAACCCAAGGTAACTGTTGTATAGTCACGGTTTGGTCAACACCGCCTTCCCCTTTCTAGGGTTAGAAAATAAATTGCAGCAAAAACACAAAGCTACCCTGAACTGAGGAGAGCGACCATAACATGGATTATGAATAGGTGGCCATACTAAAATTTGCAGTTAGGCAGCTAACTGTTGGGTGTGCGGCAGCCACCTTCCTGGTCGAAGCAGGGATGGCCCTTCCCTTGACCGACTACCGCCGTAGGGCCTTCTGAGGAAGAACCACCGTTTATTTTATTTTATTTATGTATTTATTTATTTATTACTTGCCCTGCCGGGAGTTGCAAGAGGGAGCAGTGATGCCTCCTTCAAAACTGGCTTTCCGTTCCCTTCTCTAAAACATGTACCCTGCACAAAACCCCTCTGCAACCTCCAGCCAGTCAGCGAAAGGATTCAGGCCGCCGGCGTGTGCCACGCATGGAGCAGAGGCGGGCCTGGCTTTTCTGAGGGCTTTCCCAGACCCGTTTCAGATGAAGGAGATGTAATCCTGCCCTGCTCCTGAATACGTCTACCTTTCCCAGCTCACACGTCTCGGACCCTCCTTGCTGGGGCCGTTGCCCTGGCTGCCAGCTTTCCCCTCCTTTTACTCCCATGTAAGCACACCTGGGGCCTAAGAAGCCTTTAAGCAGGGCCTCCTTACTATGTAGGCTGGAGAGGGGCAGGGGCTACATCAAGCAGGCAGAGCGGAAGGAGCAGGAGGAGGCCTGACTTCCAGGCCTCTTCCACTTATACCAGGGGTAGGCAACCTAAGGCCCATGGGCCACAAGCGGCCCATTGGGGTTATTTTGTAAGGCTTATGGGAAGCTGGTGGTGAGGAAGGGAGCTAGCTGAAAGCCAGAGGAAAGCAAACCGGCCCATGAGCCGCCCCTGAACCAAGCCACCCGCTTGGTGAGTCCCTACGCGCTGCACTAAACTGGCGCAGCACAGTGCGGGGACTCGCTTCCGCTGCGCCGGAAATCGCGTCTGCGCAGACGCTAACACCAGAAATCGCATCTGTGCAGATGCAGACGCCGGAAATCGCAGGCGTGTGTGCACGATCCGGCCATAGCTGTCAACGTTTCCTGTTTTTTAAGGGAAATTCCCTTATTCCAAATAGGATTCCTCGCAAGAAAAGGGAAAAGTTGACAGCTATGGATCCGGCCCATGGAGAGATCTCCGCTGGAGTGCACCGACCCAGGCGTGCTAAACCTTGCCGACCCCTGGCTTATACCCCAAAATGGGGCAGCAACCTAGTGACCTCCAGGCTCACCTTAGGGCTGGTACTTATGGGCCTGCAGACCCACCCCCACCCCTCTTTTCCTCACAAACAAGGAAGGAGTCGAGCGGCCAACTTTTCCCCTCTCGCTTTTGCATTCAGCAGGGTTTTCACAAGTTGCCGTAACCAACTTCCAATTCTCTGTATTAGCTTCTGGGGCGGATGGTTACGCATCAACCCCAAATTAAATAGAGGGAACCCATCTGCACGAAATTTGCCCGTGGCGATTTGCAACGTCCATTTGCAGTTTTGGAAAGAGTTGCTATCGATGAAATGGAAATGACGCCTTGCTATAGCAGGGAAGGCTCTGGGGGAGTTCAGTTTCTTCTCAATTCCCGCTGAGAAGGTGCTGCTAATGGTCGGCCAAATTCCAAGCTCTTTTTTCTTTCTTTTTTTCTTTTTCGTGGGTTCTTATTTTTAAACGAGAGTTGGCCGGGGGTGAGGGATGAGGGGACAGCTCTCAAATAATAGAGGACGCTTTGAAACAAAATAGAGAAATGTCCTCTGTAATGTAAGACATAGTAGGGCTTTTAACACAGACCTCCAGCAAGGTTACTCCTAGTCTAATATAGATGAAGGAAGGGAGGGGGCTGGTGGATGAAGCTTTCTTAAGAAAACAGTACATGCTTCATTTCCTCTTATCTGAATACAACAACACATCCCCACTTAAAAAATCAGGAGTCAGATTTTGTTGGATATGTCTGTGCCCAGGCTTGCATCAGGGGACGACTCAGCTATACAGCTGCAAACTAAAAGGTTTTAAGTGTGTTGTAAAGCGAAACATACAAATGTGACACTAGATGGCATCAGTGAGCAATGGCAAATTCAATGTGTTTTTCAAAATGTTTTTTAAAAAAGCATTTTCACAGTGTTTCTTTACATGTGCGTAGGATTCCACCAGGGTGTCTCATCACACTTTCATTCTTTGGAAGCATATTGGATTTCTGTGTTTTTGCGGCAACTACCACGGGATCACCACCCCCCACCCCCACCAGAAAAAATGCACTAGAATAGGGATGGATGTATCTGCTGGTTTCAGATTTTTTCTGTTCCTCGTTTTTCCATTTTTAAGTCCTCTATGATTCCACATCAGTTTCCTTTTGTTTTTTTTAAAAGCACTTCCAGGTGACATTCAGGACTCCACAGCCAAGCCCCCGTCTCCGCCAATGACTACAGAGAAGGTGGCAGAAGGGCTGATGGTGGATCACCATAACATTCTCTTCTTGTTGTTTTGTTTTTTTAATGTTTTATATTCAGAGATGTACTGGCCAGTCACATGGCTACAGCTGCTCATTTTCTTATTGTCACTTTTAAAATATATTATCGTTTTATAAAAGAAAATTGTGCTTATTTCCAAGTAATTGTGAATTTACCATGAGGGCAGCAGAAGCAAGCCTCCTTTTATTCATGTAGTCATGATGGCACTGCGATTTAAGTGAGACTCCTGGCTATGTGGATTTTTATACTTATCAATTTTTATACTTTTATACTATGTGGATTTTTATACTTCTCAATGGTAGACACACACACACACACACACGCTCCAAATGGGTGTAGAATTTTTCCCATCACAGTTTTTGGAAGCATCCCTGCCAAGCGTTATATAAATCACACTTATCAAAGGACCACATTCTTAGGCCATCTTTCCCGCAAGCAGCTAACAAGCAATAATAAAATAATAAAAATAAGTTGGATGAATACAACTTAAAAACAAAATTAAAATACAACTTTAAAATATTGAAACATTAAAATATTAAAATGTAGCCTCATCGCAGGAGGAGAAAGGAAAAGAAAAAAGAAAGAGGGGGAGGGAATCAAATTGGCTCCAAGCCAAAGGCCAGCCGGAACAACTCTGTCTTACAGGCCCTGCGGAAAGAAATCAGATCCTGCAGGGCCCTGGTCTCAGGAGACAGAGCGTTCCACCAGGCCAGAGCCAGAGTTGAAAAGGCCCTGGTTCTGGCTGAAGCTAATCTAACTTCCTTAGGGCCCGGGACCACTAGGGTGTTGCTATTTATGGACCTTGAGGTCTCCGTGGGGCATACCGGGAGAGGCGGGGGTTTCTGTTTCAATTAGCAATTCATCCACAATTTGACCCATGCATTAGTGCACTGACTTGTTTGTTTGGTGATTTAAACATTAATAATGCACTGTGTTGCCTTTTTTAAAAGCATCACTGCAACTGTAGATGTAAGGAACAGAACCTGGGATGTTCTTCATTCAATGCTTGCAAAGATACTTGATGGAACCTGCATTTTAAACATGGGTGGTATATTTGAGCCCAGCTTCAGTTGTTAACAGGCTGGCACAGCAATGTATTTAAGACTAAATGTTCCACTGCTGTTAATTCATGGCTGCTTGCTTCCTCCCTCCCATATCTCTGGCCATGATGTCTGAGGCTGATAGAAGTTGTAATCTAAGTTGATGTCTGAGGCTGATAGAAGTTGTAATCTAAACATCTGGAGGGTCCTTAGTTTCAGGATCGGCTGGAAAGATGAAGAAGCGATTCTCGAAACAAGGAAAATTTCATTCAGTATGGAAGTTTATTACTACATGCTCGTAATACATAGCACACAGATAAATACTCTAGCTCACTAAACCTCATCTAGTCCTACCTATACAGAAAACAAACTACTGCTTTCCCAACAAATACTGAAGTTTCTGTTGCAAGGGCAATTTACAGAAGGAATTGGTGGCATAACCAGAGCAAATAGACAGTGTTGGCCTCCCACTTAATCCAGTCCAAAATCTGGGCTTTGTTTTGGTGTGATCAAACATCGGAGAGTCCCCAGCCCTGTTCTGAAGAAGTGTTGGCCCCCATTCAGCACATTCTCTTCCAAGATGAGTGCTTGCCAATATGGACCCACTCAGAGCTCTGTGTGACGCAACACTCTATCGCACATCTATGCAAATAGTAATGTAAGACAGGTTAGGGCCCCTACAAACTGGTGTTTTATTGTGGGTGAGTTCTGCAAAATATTATAGACACAGTAATAGTATATTGGTGCATTAGTGGTGCATTTGTTCTGCTTTATGAGTTGTTACATTGAAGGGGTACAGTTAGGGTTACCCCAGAAAGCCCTAAAAACTGTTTGTGAATCCCCCCCCCCAGCCAGGCCTCGGCGCACGCATTTTTAAAACTGCATTTTCCTCTAAGACAAAAAGCACGAGCTAAGCAGTCCTCTCTGTAACAAAAACGCTGTAACAAACACAGCTGAAAACAGTAAAGCTTTTCGCTTCCCAGATCCAAGATAACCTTGTCCTGGTACATTGACTTGCAACATACTTCCGGAGAAGGGGGAGAGGGAAGGAGTGGGTTTGGAGAACAGGATAAAACCTGATGTAAAATGCTTTTTGCTGCGGCCTGTCTTTTGTGAACTGAATCACACAGGTGCCTCTGCCCCCCCCCCCGCCCCCATGGCAGAATAAAACACTCTTTCTCTGGATTAACCCCTTGGTGTCGTTTGGCTCCTTTTGTCTCTGCTTGGGTGCAACAATTTTTCCTACCCATGGATTAAAAAGGCTACAACATCATGTTTTCCCAATACTACCGCATCATCCAGAAGGGCTGGAGCACAAGAAAAGTGGGACAAAAACAAAGCAAACACCCCGAACATTTGTGGTTTGGAAAGTTATGGGATTTCAACATGAACTTACAGGAAGGGCACTGATCAGAAAGGAAGCAGTATAGCAGCCCCAAAACATATTGAAACATTAGTATAGTATAGTATAGTATAGTATAGTATAGTATAGTATATAGTATATAGAGTAGTATATAGTACATAGGGACGCGGGTGGCGCTGTGGGTAAAAGCCTCAGCGCCTAGGGCTTGCCGATCGAAAGGTCGGCGGTTCAATCCCCGCGGCGGGGGTGCGCTCCCGTTGCTCGGTCCCAGCGCCTGCCAACCTAGCAGTTTGAAAGCACCCCCGGGTGCAAGTAGATAAATAGGGACCGCTTACTGGCGGGAAGGTAAACGGCATATCCGTGTGCTGCGCTGGCTCGCCAGATGCAGCTTTGTCACGCTGGCCATGTGACCCGGAAGTGTCTCCGGACAGTGCTGGCCCCCGGCCTCTTAAGTGAGATGGGCGCACAACCCTAGAGTCTGTCAAGACTGGCCCGTACGGGCAGGGGTACCTTTACCTTTACCTTTTATATAGTATATAGTATATAGTATATAGTATATAGTATATAGTATATAGTATATAGTATATAGTATATAGTATATAGTATATAGTATATAGTATATAGTATAGTATATAGTATATAGTATAGCCCCAAGAGTATCATGAGCACAAATCAACTGATAAAAAAGGACATTCAAGGGCCCCTTTATTCTTAGAGGCTAATGCAAAATCTCCTTGATATGTCCTTCACCTTAAAGTTCCTCTGTTCTTTATATGTATAGATCACCTAAGTTCAGGACCCTGATTTTTCAAGTGCTCATGGCACTCACAGCCAAGTACTCCCCATGAACTCTGCAGCTTCTATTGTTTTCTTTATCTTGTTTCATGTATGAATCACTTCTATGAAATACCCAAAACAATTTAACAATATAAACAGGAAAAGCATATAAAGAATTTTACTTGCAAAACCATTTCCTCCCCCCAAAACCCCCAAAACATTGATTTTGCGGATTCCATGTTACTAGCAGATCTCTAAACACGAGCAGATAGGTGTCTGGTCTTTATTTGGGACTTTCAGCGCTCAGAGGCTTTTGCACGAACATTCTCTGCATCTTCCTCAACATCTTGCAGAAAGCATTGCAGCATGTGGTAGATGGTTTGGAAAGAAATAGTTCCACTGACTAAATTGCCCAACACAGGTATGAACTCAACAATCTGTCCTAGCACTGTTGGTGCTTTACACTGCCCTGACTTGGCCAAGAGATCAAGTACAAATTCTTCGCTGATCTCATTAGCCAGTGGAGACTTCTTAATCACTGATTTCAGCTCACTTAGAGGTTTACCAACCCGGTTTGCAAGACTGCACAGGGACTCTTCATCCAACCCAAAAGACATGCAGAACTTTTTGAGTGTTTTCACCAAGAAGAAAATATGCCAAGGTAATTTGAGAGCTAACCGAGTCACACAGCCAAAATAGGAAGACACAAGGGCCTGCTTCCATATAAGTTTCCTCATCTCAGATTTCTTCTTCTCCAGGATATCTCTTGAGAAAGTTGGCATTGAGAGAAGGAGGGCGTGTCTTTTGAGATGATCCAGTTCATTCTGCAAGGTTTCTTGCAGAATGGGGAAATCATACATGCTCAAATCCCAATTTGATATCAAAAAAACCTTTGGAGAAGCCTCTCCCAGTTTTCTCAGTTTATCACAATAATATTGCCTTAAGTCCTCAAGTGTCTCCATTTCATTGAAGGTGGGTCTCCTTCTTTCAGCATCCATGCTAAGATTAATTTTAGGGTGCACATAGTAAAACTTCTTTTTCATTTTCTGAATCTCACGAGCCAGCTGGGTGTCACTCTCTGTAAAACGTTCTGAAGCAATGATAAAGAAATCGTATTTGCTAAAATCTACCTTCTCCAGATACTCATCTGCTTTGAAATCATCTGTTCCAATTCCTGGTAGATCCCATAGTGTCACCTTGGGGAACTTTGGGTGCTGATATTTTGTCGCAAACATGGTTGTCTGTTTCAGCCCCGTCTTAGCTGAGCCCTCTCCAAAATCTGACATACCCCGCAAGGCATTGACAAGAGAAGACTTGCCAGCACCTGTATGCCCTGTGATGGCAATGTCAAGTGTGGCATTGCTTAGCAAATCTAACTCTTGCCGAATCTGGGCTACCACATCTGGGAGATGTCCTTGTACTAAAACTGCCTTCATATTTTCCAAGTCAGCAAGAAAATTTTTTTTGAAGTCATGCCACGAGGCTCTTCTAGATGAATCACTTGATCTAGGAAAGAAAAAAAGCATTTTAAATATTAAAAAATACTACATATTTCTCTTTGACAACCTAGATATAGCTGCATGGAGGTGAACTGATGTATGTAAGAGTAGTACTGATGGAGGTTATTGCATGCCAAGGCACCTGAGCCACAAAGTTCCCAGGAGAACAATAAATCACACTGACATGGAATATTTTGGTTTATGGGTTCAAATAGGCCACAACTTTATTGGTTACAGATGTGAGTGGTTTGGCTCAGGCATTGGGGTGAAGCCAGGCGGTATCTTGACTCTCGCCCATCTGCAGGGAATCCACAGAAGGATAAACCACCATTAGGGGGTGCCCTATAACTTACATTAGATAGTGGCACCCTGCGGAGTCCCCATAGGGGCTGCGACATGGCCCTAGCCCTCGGACAGCATTCACACCCCAGATCCTTTTAACAGGATACCCTTACTGAGGAGGGGCAAGCGAGGCAACAACCTCCCCTCCATCCAAACAAAGGCTTACCCAATGCCTAACCTCACAGAAGTTGTGACGATTGCTACTAGGTGGGCGAAAACCAAATGGCCGGTGCCCATTTGCCAAGTGGAAAAAATTCCTACCCGACCCGGCCCAAACAACATGGCGACCCACAACTGCCATAGCAAGGTCATATCAGAGCAAAGCATGAAAAGAGGGTGGGTAGGGAGGGTGATCTGATGAAGAGGCGAGGAAGAGGAAGCCGACCGGCCCACCAGCCATGCCAAGTTTAAATGGCCCACACCCACCCTGGCCACAGATTGGCTAGGGCTATTGCCAGCACAGATGACTGCGCTGGCTGTGACGCAGGGAGGGGAGGCAGCATACCTCCCCCTAAGCCAGAAAACTGTTGAGGCTCGGCTGATTGGCTGCAACGCTGTACACCAGAGAAAAGGTGAACGGACCTGCCAGCTAAACAAGACCCATATGGAGACTCTGGGCTTCCCACCTTCAGCCCTGAAGCCCAAAGGTTGAAGGTGGAAACTGAGGATCAAGACAGTGCCTGGGGTGTGTCTGGAGGCTATTGGTGTGTGCAGGTGAGATATTGATGAGATGTGACACTTCAGGCTGCCTTAGAACCATTGTGTGTTCCTCATTTATATCCTCATTTATATGGGAAGGGCATATAGCTCGGTGGCAGAGCATCTGCTTCAAATGCAGGCGATCTCAGGTTCAATCGCTGGCACCTCCGGTTTGGGCTGGGAACATGTCCTTTCTGAAACCCTGGAGAGCTGCTGCCAGTCCGTGTAGCCAATACAAGATCTAGCTCAATAAATGGTCTGACTCAACATAAGACAGCTAAGTTCCTTACTAAGGTTCTGTACAGGGTGCCATTACTCCAAAGATGATGATGATGATAATAATAATAATAATAATAATAATAATAATAATAATTTATTATTTATATGTATTGTTTGAGTCAGGAAGGACCCTGACAAAGAGAAGGGATTCACCTCCTGCAACTAAAACCTCCAGACACAGTTTGCTTTGTGCTCTGCCCCCTGCCGGCATAAATGGCAGGAGCCTTGCCAGAGGATTGGAAAGAATTGAGGAGCATCAGATGGTGACATAAATGGCCTAAGCTGAACCCAACATACCTATCGAGTATCTGGCTTAGTACTAAGGCATACCTCTTGAGATCAATAAATTCATCTTGCAGGGTCCTTTGCAGAAGGGGGAAATCATACATGCTCAAATCCCAATTTGAGATCAGAAAAACCCTTGGAGACGACTCCCCAGCCTTTGCCAGATTTTCACAGTAATAGTTCCTTATTTCCTTAAGGGTTTTGTCCTCCGTGAAGTGTGGGTTTCTTCTTTCGTCAGTTATACTGACATCCACTTTGGTGCGCACATAGAGAAACCTCTTCTTTCTTTTCCAAATTTCACGAGCCAGCATGGCATCATGCTCGGTGAAGCTTATTTCACTAACAATGATGAAGAAATCATATTTGTTGAAATCAATCTCTTTTACATATTTCTCTGCTTCAAACTCATGTGTTCCGATTGCTGGCAGATCCCAGAGAGTTACGTCGGGATAGCTGGGGCACAGGTACCCTTTGAGTTCCTTAGTACCTTGTATCATATCAACCATGGCGGCATCCTCCTCATTGTCTGCCATATTGCACAGGGCATTGACCAGGGATGATTTGCCGACACCTGGCCCCCCGTGATGGCAACATCAAGGCTGCTTTTGCCTGGTGGGTGTTCTCTTTGAGTTGATGTGTCTGATTGTGAGCTGTTGGCACCCATAGCTGCTCCTCGGGGGCATTCATCAGGTCTAAGTAAGAACAGAAATATAGCAATGGTTAACTCCTTCTTACATAAAGCTCCTGCTTAAAATAGCTGCTTTGTAGGCCCAGTCCAAATGGCTCACATTAAAGTCCTAAATAAACAAATATATGAAAGACTGACTCCTTTCCTAAAGACCCCCCCCCACACACACACACAAATACCTGCAGTTCAAAGGTGCCACAGCAGTGGCCACACATGAGTAGGGAAGTGAAGACATTGATCCAACAAGGAAACACCCACTGCCACCCCATTATAAGGGAAAGGGGTGGGCACAGCTTTGTGCTACAAGCAGCAAATGTTGCTGAATTACAGTTCCCATCAGCCCCAGCAGGCATGGCCAATGGGCAAGGAAGATGGGAGTTGTAGTTCAGTGATATCTGGAGGGCCAAACGTTCTTTACACCTAACATACAATATCGGATTCGGGGAAATTGAAATGAATAGCCCACTTCATAGAGGCCTGACTCATGCAATGCAAGGCTTATCAGTTCAGTTATCAGGTAACCCCATTGCATCCTTCCCACCTCACTGTTAAGGTCTGTGTGCAAGAGACCAAGACTCTGGGGAAACCAGGGGTGGGGTACAAATAACATTATTATTAATTATTATTATTATTATTATTATTATTATTATTACTGCTTGATGCCAGGAGCTGGAGTGGGGTACAGTCAACTAAAGGAGGAAAGTGAGGGGAGATATAGTCTCTACATCCTTATATATGGGTACAGCCACAACAACACAGAAAAAAGAAACATTAAACATGTTTGCTTTCATATGGCATTGAATAAAGTTTGGCTTCAGCTGAAACCAACATACTTATTGTGTATCTTCCTTCCTGGGTCCTGGGGTGGTAGTAAGGCACGCCTCTGGAGATCAATACATTCATCTTGCAGAGTCCTCTGCAGGAGGGGGAAATCGTACATGCTCAAATCCCACCTTGAGATGAGAAAAACCCTTGGAGGTGACTCCCCGGCCTTTGTCAGACATTCACAGCAATCTTTCCTTATTTGCTCAAGGGTTTTCTCCTCATTGAAGCTTGGTTTCCTGCTTTCAGCAAATATAATAACATCCACTTTGGTGCACACATAGAAAAAACCCTTGTTTGTTTTCTGAATTTTGCGGGCCAGCACGATGGCATCATCAGTCAATCTTCTTTCACCAACAAGGATGAAGAAATCATACTTTTTAAAATCCATATCCTTTATGTATCTCTCTGCCGGAAACAGAGGTGGTTGAATCCCTGGTAGATCCCAAAGGGTTACATCTGGATATTGGGGGTAAAAGTACCCCATTGGTTCCCTAGTACCTTTTATCACATCGACCGCAGCTGCACCAAGCTCATCATCTGCCATATTTCGCAGGGCATTGACCAGGGATGATTTGCCGACACCTGAGTCCCCTACGATGGCGATATCAAGGGTACGTTTGCCAGATGGCTGCTTCATTTGAGCTAATGTGCCTTGTTTGCTGCTCTTACAAGCCATGGCTGCTCTTCTCTGAGATTTATCAAACCTAAATAAGAACAGAAATATTGCAGCAGTTAATGCCTTCTGTATCTAAGTCCTCTTTTAAAACAGCTGCATCGGTTGCCAGTTCATTTCCAGGCCCAGATCAAACTACAGTGGTACCTCAGGTTACATACACTTCAGGTTACATACACTTCAGGTTACAGACTCCGCTAACCCAGAAATAGTGCTTCAGGTTAAGAACTTTGCTTCAGGATGAGAACAGAAATTGTGCTCCGGCGGTGCAGTGGCAGCAGGAGGCCCCATTAGCTAAAGTGATGCTTCAGGTTAAGAACAGTTTCAGGTAAAGTACGGACCTCTGGAACAAATTAAGTACTTAACCCGAGGTACCACTGTACTCACATTAGTGTTTAACTCCATTGAGCATTCCAAGGAAACCATGTTCTGGGTAAGCACTGGAACCCCAGGAATCTCTTACCGAACAGAAATTGGGGTGCAGGCAAAACTATAGTTATTACAACATCTTAAGTAAATAGCTTCAACAAATGCTCTTGAAATTCCTGTACAGCTTCATCTGCCTCTCTGTTTTCCTGCCTAAGCTCCTGAAATGGCTGCAATGCTTTGATAAGAAGCTTTCAAACTGCATAAATTGGACTTCCTGTCCTGGTGAGGGTTTCTCCTGGAGAGAGAAACTCTGATATACAGGGGTACCTTGGTTCACGAACTGCTTAGTTGTCGAACAAATCGGCTCCCGAATGCTGCAAACCTGGAAGTAAGTGTTACGGCTTCCGAAAGTTTTTCAGAAGCCGAATGTCTGACACGGCTTCTGCTAGAGTGCAGGAAGCTCCTGCAGCCAATCGGAAGCCGTGCCTTGATTTCAAACGGTTTTGGGAGTCAAACTGACTTCCAGAATGGATTAAGTTTGAGAACCAAGGTTCCACTGCAGTGCTTTCTTCTGGGAGTACGCATACCCCTAAACATTTTCTGAATCTTTGTACTTTTGTCCATTTACTGTATTTATTTTTCCCCATTTGAACTATAAAATGGTGATTTTCTTGAGTCAAAATGAGAGTACCCCTAAACCTTTTTAAAGGGGGGGAAAGCATTGTTCCACTGTATATTTAATTGTGGTCCTTTCAAACATCCATTCACTGCTGAATACATAGTAGGAATGGTTGAAATATGGGAAAGTGAGCAAAGAAAGAAACAGAATTAATTAGGGGGGAGCTCCTTTGAGAGCTGAAAGGCAGCATATAAATACTTTTACAATCAGCAAATTAAAATTGGTTACCATTGGCAGCCAGTAGCTCTTTGGAAAAACAGCGACTCCCTTACAGTGACAAGTTGGACAGCTGTTTGAGACGATTGCTTTCTCTTGCATCTAGAAAAACTTATCTGGTACATGCCACACTTTGAAATATTTTTTTTACAGTGACAGTGAAAGCAGGCTTCACTTCCCTCTGCCTTCCGAACTATGAATAACAGCCAACAAGGAAGCGAGGCAGAGTGGTTTCACAGTGAACTGAGTTCTGTTCTGAGAATATAAGCCTGGCCTTGGTGGGCCATTGGCCTGATCCAGCAAAACTCTTCTGTTCTGACAATTACATGGGTCTCAACAACAACAACAACGTGACAAACCAACTTGAAATGTAGTTTGGTTCTGACTGGGACCTTCCAGAAGCCAAGATCCAAGTCTGGGGAGGGGGCTATGTGTGGAACTTCATGGGGATGAGGAGGGAGATGCATTAAGCCAATATATTATGGTCCACAAACAGTAGACTGGCGCAGCAATGTATTTCAGACCAAATGTTCCGTTGCTGATAATTCCTGGCTGCTTGCCAGCACACAGCTCTGCTCAAACGGCTGATTTCTGAGAAAGCAAAACTTAGACTGGGTGGCTCTGTTTCCTCTTCATTGTAAACCATTTGGAGAACAAAAACAAACAGAAATCTCTCCAGCCAGACTAGCAGAAGCCAAGCAAGCACTGAAAGCCATCCCCAGCAGTCAAGAGAACGTGCAGAGGGTCAGAGGGGTGGTTGCCCCGGGTGCAAAATTTTGAGGTGGCACAACCAGGCGGCCCCACACAGGTGATGTCTCACTTCATCCGCTGTCACTGCAAGGCGCCTCCGCCTCCACCAGGCCTCCATTGCAGCAGCTGGCGTGCTTCAGGAAGGAAGTACATCAGTGGCCTTGGCACAGGTGGCAGGCTTTGGCAGAGGACTTGCGGCAGTGGAGACAGAGTGTGAGTTAGGCAGGGAGACAGGGGGTGGCAGGCAAGTGAGTGAGCGATGGGGGGGGGCAGACATGTGGTGGCAGAGACAGGTGGGAGCAGGCATGGAAGGGCTGACCCCAGCATAGCCCGGCCCAGAATTCCTCTCTGGGGGTGCTGCCAACCCACGGTACACCACTGCTCCCAACTACACATTTTGTTTCCTAGTGCACTCCAAAAAACAAACAAACAGCCTTTGGGCACCAGAATATGTGTGAGTCCAGGGGGAAAGGAAGCCCTGCAAGTCCCAGAGGATGTTTGCAAATCTTTTTAGTAAACAGGGAAGAGGAACAGAGAAAGATGAAGGACGGGACAGCGACTATGTGGACAGCTTCCGAAGAGCTTCTCTCTCCACTGTGTCAACCCAAAGGAAAGGAAAAGAGGCAGGCGCCAAGAGGAGGAGAAGGAGGAGGGCAGCTTCCTAGCAGCTAAAGAAGGATAGTATGTCAAATTAACACGCAGAATCGTTTGAGAGGGAGACCCGGGTTGGTTTCAGAGCAGTTACTTAAAGTTCTTATAGTAGCACTAGCTCAATAGTGATGACATGTTATTTATTCCCTTTGTAGCAGGGAAGAAGGGCAGCCGTCTCCAACGTTAATAATAGTAATAATAAGCAACTCTGGCCGCCCCCGCCCCACCCGCCTAGCAAGGAGCTCAGAGTCGATCAAGCTCAAAAAGAAACGGAAATCATGATAATCGCAAGGGGAAAGTTCAGCTCCTCACCTGCTGCCAGCCCGATTTTTTTACAGCAAACCTCAGTCCACTCCTCGGAGATTTCGCTTCCAGGTTTCTAAACACTTTTCTCCTTCCAACTCTCTTCCTTTCTCTCTTTTATTCCCTCTACCTCCTGCTCGTCGCACTACTAAAAGCAAAAACGAAAGCCAAGTTGGGAGCGAAGACAACGTAAGATTGCAGGCGAGTTTGAAATTTTCCCTTCCCCTCCCATGGTGATAATCGCCGATTTACCGATGGCAGCAAATAGCAAAAGCAGCATTCCCCGCTAGGGGGAGCACCGAACAGCTGTTTGATAGACAGTCGAGATTCTGCCTTTCCTGGGAAGTCCCGAAGGATCACTTGTGAAACTTGAAGCATCAGAGGTGGTTAATCCTTCACCTTTGTTGTTGTTGCCTCTGTGTCAGTCTCAGCGGTACCCGAGTCGTCTGCAAGCCCACACAATCCAGATATTATTCCTTGACGGATTGTTGCATTGATAGACTGCGAAAAGTGGAAGGGCTCTAACGCTGTGGGGGTTTGGGGCGTCTTAGAGGAAATAGTTTAATTTTTTGAAAAATCCTGATATTCTGCAAGGTGCTGAGAGGCTTTAGAGCCTGCACGACAAGCTGGCTTTGCAGACCAAAACAAATACAATACCTTGTTAGGCAGATGCAATTGCCACAACATATGGAGCGCAACAGGCTGAATGGTAATGTTTGTAACAAATGTTTTACTGGTTACTTCCTAACATATGAATCAAGTCCAGGATGTACACCATATACAGTGGTACCTCAGGTTACATACGCTTCAGGTTACAGACTCCGCTAACCCAGAAATATTACCTCGGGTTAAGTACTTTGCTTCAGGATGAGAACAGAAATCGTGCGGCGGCGGCGCAGCAGCAGCAGGAGGCCCCATTAGCTAAAGTGGTGTTTCAGGTTAAGAACAGTTTCAGGTTAAGTACGGACCTCCGGAACAAACTTAACCTGAGTTACTACTGTACAATCCTGAAGCAAGGCATATAACCTGTTAACGGAGAAATCTGAGGGCTCCCTTGGACAAAAAAAACCAAGGACACCAGCCAGGAATACCAGAGCAAAACAGCAGCCAGTAGGCTTGGTCTTTATTGAAGACTGTCGCGACAGGACTCCCACCTGCCACAAGGTGGAACAAGATGGAAGCCCCAAACTAAAGAGCCCCCAAGCTTTTATTAGCTGCTAATCCCTATGTTATCCTCCCCCCCCACTACATCACTCATACATCATGGTTACATCATGAAAGGGGAGGTCTGGTGGCAGTAATCGAAGCATCCTGGACCCTGCCCCATGGTTCTACTTGCCCTCCACCAAACACCCATCAAGTGTAACAAAAGAGATCTTTACATTTCCCCATTTCCCAGCCAAGTTAATCACACCTTTTTGTCTTCATCTGAGTTTGTTATTTCTGGAATGGCTACCTGTCTGGCACTCAGGTGTCAGGATGCCAGGGATTATCACTCAGGCAGAGTGGCTGCTGAGTAGCTGAGCTCACATGTCTATATGAATTTCTGAAGTTTTCCCCGTGAGCCAGTACATAGATACATTTATCAGTGAATTGTTACATTTGGTATCGTACAGCAAAGGCGCTTTGAATAGATAGGAAGAAACTGTGATGAAGTGTTTTGTTGGGACAAATCACAAAAGTCACAAAAGCGATTGTGCTGATTTTGGTAGTGGGCTGCACTTGCATGATATCTGCTGGAGGGGCAACTCCCCCTCCCAACCTTTACATAAATTCCTGCAAGAAACCTATTTAATTAAATCCAATGTAGATACATTTCTTCTTTTCTTAATACATGTTTGTTTGAGTTCCTATATTACACAGTCCTCAAATGTGATTAAGGAAAGGTCCCTAGAGTCTCACGGACGATACAGCTGTTGAGGTTGGCTAGCATAGGTAGCAGACACAGGCAGGCTGGCCCAGGCAGCTGGGTTGGGCAGAACAAGGTTTCCGGATATTTCCTTGTTTCGCCCTGAAGGGCTTCCTCAGCTGTTAATAGTTCTATATAATAAATATAAACACTTGATAATACAATGATTAATATTAGACATGTAGAAATTACAAATATAAATCTATTATATCATATCTAAAAATTATAAAGTTCATACATTATTAAGCCTTATCAAGCATTAAAAGATACAGAGGTTGTGCATACCATCGAAGTGTGTAACAGATCATGTAAACAATGATTCTTGGACGATTCTCAATAGTAATGGCCAACGAGTCTCAGTACACCCTTAATAAGCAAAACCATATGATAAGACAAGTGTTAACCTAAACGCAGTCTTAAAGGAATATGACCACAATGGGGTCACATAGGCAGAGCTCTTATGTAGTATATGTGTCACATAGCTCAGGGGTTAAAATGCATTTCTGGGTTATTTGTGGGGCATAGGAATTCGTTCTTTCCCCCCCAAAATATAGTCTAGCCCACCCCATGGTCTGAGGGACAGTGGACCGGCCCACAGCTGAAAAAGGTTACTGACCCCTGACATAGCTTGTGTGGGATATGTCATCATAAAAAGCATGTATACAATTCAGTATTTAGACCTAAACGATGCAGAGTGTTGAGTAAAATAAATAAATCTGCTTTCCTTCTGTGTAAGGACTCTTCCTGCATTTTCAAGAGGTCCTTGATAGGTCCAAAGTACAAAAAAATGTATGAAAGTGAGAGCTGGACCATAAAGAAGGCTGATCGCCGAAGAATTGATGCTTTTGAATTATGGTGCTGGAGAAGACTCTTGAGAGTCCCATGGACTGCAAGAAGATCAAACGCATCCATTCTTAAGGAAATCATTCCTGAGTGCTCACTGGAAGGACAGATCGTGAAGCTGAGGCTCCAGTACTTTGGCCACCTCATGAGAAGAGAAGACTCCCTGGAGAAGACACTGATGCTGGGAAAGATGGAGGGCACAAGGAGAAGGGGGCAACAGAGGACGAGATGGTTGGATAGTGTTTTCGAGGTTACCAGCATGAGTTTGACCAAACTGTGGGAGGTAGTGGAGGACAGAGGTGCCTGGCGTGCTCTGGTCCATGGGGTCATGAAGAGTCGGACACGGCTAAACGACTAAACAACAACAACAACAACAACAACAAAATGTAAGGCCATCATCAGTGTGCGACTTTTGAATGAAATGGGATACCAGAGGAGCACCCAAAATTCTATTTCTGATCCTAGAACGATGCTCCAATTGTAGCCTTTTGTTGCACCCACGCAGAGACAAAAGGAGCCAAACGACACCAAGGGGTTAATCCAGAGAAAGAGTGTTTTATTCTGCCATGGGGGGGGGGGGCAGGGGCACCTGTGTGATTCAGTTCACAAAAGACAGGCCGCAGCAAAAAGCATTTTACATCAGGTTTTTATCCTGTTCTCCAAACCCCTTCTTCCCTCTCCCCCTTCACAGATTTTACATAGAAATGTTGCTTTTCATTCTCTGGCTCTGCTCCCGGAAGTATGTTGCAAATCAATGTACCAGGACAAGGTTATCTTGGATCTGGGAAGCGAAAAGCTTTACTGTTCTCAGCTGTAGGTTTGTTACAGCGTTTTTGTTACAGAGAGGACTGCTTAGCTCGTGCTTTTTGTCTTAGAGGAAAATGCAGTTTTTAAAATGCTTAAGGGGAGGCCTGGCTGGGGGGGGGGAAATTCACAAACAGTTTTTAGGGCTTTCTGGGGTAACCCTAACTGTACCCCTACACAATATCCTGGTTCTGATTGGTCTGGTGGTTTGTCCCACATATAATAAACCACATGTGCATTTTATTACATAGACAGTGTGTGCAGTAGCACATGTAGCAAATGATTGTATGGTGAATTTAAACCCTCACTGTTGGTGAACTCTTACCAGAAGCGCGTATCTGCATGCAACACAGTGTCCACACTTGAAAAAACCTATTGGGGCTGTTATTAAAGTCTGTTGTTGTGGTATGGGTTTTAGATCAGTGTGTACCAGTATGTCTCGAAGGGATCTAGTGCGTCGTTTCCCGAAGCATGGAAGGACCTCGCAACCAGGAATATCTTTTAAGATATGGCAATGCCGTTTCACTATTCTCACAATGTCTCTCGTCATGTGATTAAATTCTAAGGAAGAATGGATTCTCTTGGTGATCTCATGAGTATCAGTCCGGGTTTTTTAAAGTGTGGATCTATCCTTAGTTTTAGTTCTTTGTATGGCAGTGGACACCACTGTACGTGGGCAACCGCATTCTAGGAAAGAGGTTACCAACTTGTCAGATTAGAAGAATTTATTTTGAGCCATAGAAATTGACCAAACGGAAGGTTATCTCGAAGGTGTCTTGGATGATTGGAACTATAATGAAGTAAAGAATTTACATCTGTACTTTTTTAAAAGGGGCGAACCTTGATTTTTAGCTGGTCAATGTAAATTTCCAAATCAAGAAAGGGTAGAACTGAATTTACCTTCAAAATTTAAATGTGAGTTTAGACCATTTGTCCACAGATTAAACCGATCAAAAATATCCTCAGTGAATATAAACAATAAATCACCAATGTAACGTCCATAAAACAACAAATATACTCCATATGGGTCATTATGAAAAATGTGTTCTAAATCAAAATTACTCATGAAAATATTGGCCACGCTGGGAGTGCATCTCGAACCCATAGGCACACCCTGTTTCTGGATGTAATATTTAGTCCCAAAACAGAAGTAATTGTTGTACAAAATTAAAGATACAATTTCCATGAGGAAATGTACTGGTGGAGATGTTTGATTATGATCTATTAACCTTTCCTTAATCAGTGTCTTCACCTCATCTAGGGGTACATTGGTATATAGTGAGGAAACATCCCAAGTGGCTCTGATACTACGCTGGGTAGGTTCTCGATTAAGGTAATGACCGCAAATTCCCCGATTACACTTATTCCCTTATATAGTGGTTTTCTGCAGCTTGCATCATCTCTTATTTGATTGTATACTTTTTGCCACAAAGCCAGGCATGCGCACGTCTACCTCGTGTCACATGAGCTTTTACTTACTGCTGCTGACACAGTCTCTGACTACCTATGATTTTCTATAGCCTCCACGCTTTCCAGGCCTGAGGTTCACCACAACGTCAAGTGAGTCTGTGCCCTAGGTCCAGGTTCCAATTCCATGTTTGCCTCATTGCTACTTGGTAGAAAGCTCAGGAGAACTTTAGCACAGTGCATTTCCTTCAGATGACAGACCAATGGAGGGTCATTGCCTTGTTGTCATTATCTGTTTGCCACGCGTACAAGCAGTGGTGTAACTGTGTAAGATCAGAGAGGATGGGGTGGTCTCATACTGATACATGGTTTTAGATGAGGCCTTCTAAAATGCCAGGTGGGGAGAGGGTGAGAATGTGGCCATGGTAGATGGGTAAAAATCTTGGAGCAGAAACTGCATCCTGTTTACAAGTTTTCCTCTCCCCATGCCTGCCCAGCAACACAGTTCTGCTCGAACTGATCAAAGATCAAAACCGGTGATACACGGCCAACACTGCTGGTCTTCAGTGCACAGCTACAACCAGGCACAGGCTATCTCTGAGTTTATGGACCTTGACAGTGAAACCTGACAGGTCTGAGCATGTGAACCAATATAACATCCCTTATGATGCTTTCCCATTCTCAGAATTTTCTGCAATGCAAATGGGTCACGTGATCAATGATGTGCAGGAGGCCCTCAGTAGACAAGTTAGTGTTGAAGGGCTCCCTAAGCAGAACAAAGTATCTCTGCACATGCTAATGAAATCCTTTCACTGCCAACCCCACCCCTCAATCTTTTTAATGCAAATAACAGGAGAGGTCTATGCAGAGAGCGGGTTGGAAGAAAGAACTTGACACACTCAGACATAGAGGCAGAACCTTGTTGTCATTGCATTCTTATATTAATAATTCTGTGCCCAGTGCGCATCTGATGTACTGCAGATGCACGTCTGGCTGTGCAACCATGGACGTCACATGACCTGATTAGCAAAATTCTCCTCATAGTGCTGCTCTGCTCCCATAGCCTGCCATTTACACCCCAGCCTATGAACTCAACGTCAGAGCACACCAGCTGAAATAATGCACCTGATTAACTAGAAGGTTAAAAAAAATCTAGGAAATTTCTACGGTCCTTTGCAAATATTCTATTCTACACTGCAATAGTAGGAAGGCTGGGCTCTGCGTAGTCCTCTTTCATCAATGCCACGCTGCTTAAGTGCCGGCAACTCAGGTGCTGCTGAGACTGGCACAGAGGCAACAACAGCAGAGGTGAAGGATTACTTTCATGGGATGCTTCCACAGGTGATCCTTTGGGACTTTCCAGAAAAGGCAGCATCCCCGCTGGCAAACGGGCTGCTTGGAGCTCCCTCTGGCCAGGAATGCGGCTTCGGCTTATTTGTTGCGATCTTATCTCATCCTCGCTGGTTACCTTCGCTTTCTTTTTTGCTTTTAGTAGTGTGACGATCAGGAGGGAGAGAGGGTATAAAAGGGCAAACAGAGGAGGAGCAGGTGGGAGAAAAGCGCGAGAAACCTCGAAGCAAAACCTCTGAGAAGAGGACTGAGCTTGGCTGCAAAAAATCGGTTCAGCAGCAGGTAAGGAGTTGAACTTTTCTCAGGATTTCCGTTTCTTTTTGAGCTTGTTTGCGTTAAAGGAGACTCTGAGCTTCTTGCTTGGCAGAACAATTGTTGTTGCTGGGTTTTTTTACCTTTTACTTTTATATTTTTACCTTTTACCTTTTTTCCTTTTTATTGTTATTACATTAATTATATTATAGCTATTGTGATATTATATTATATTATATTATATTATATTATATTATATTATATTATATTATATTATATTATATTATATTATATTATATTATATTATATTATATCCAGTGTTTTTTTTCTTTAAAAATGTTTAGGGGAACTCTCATTTGACCATTCAAAACCACCTCAAATCGAGAAAAATAAATACAATAAATGGACAGAAGTGCAAAGAACATGCATTGCCTCGTATTACACAGCTCACAACTTCCACACTGGCATGAGGATGTGTGCACTAACATCTTCCTGATTCCTTTCTGGGAAAGAAAGGAAGCTGCCATCGGAGGTGGTAACAACAAAATGTTTAGGGGTACGTGTACCCCTGCGTCGTCGCCCCCCCCCCCCGAAAAAAGGACTGATCATATCGTATTGTAAACAATAATATCATTACCAACAATGATGTTCTAATAATAATAATAATAATAATAATAATAATAATAAATAATTAATAATAATTTATTATTTGTACCCCGCCCATCTGGCCGGGTTTCTCCAGCCACTCTGGGTGGCTTCCACTGAGACCAAAAAGGCTGCTCTTCTTTTTCATGGCAAAGGGAATACCGTAAATAACACGCCACAAGTAGCTGGTGCTACTTTTAGAGTTTTAAGTAACTGCCCTGAAGCCAATGCGACTGGTCTCCCTTTCGCGTGTTAATTCAATATATCCCTCTGCAGAGCCCCCCCCCCTTTGATGGGTATTATTCCTGAAAGAAAGTAGCAGGAACACAGCTGTGCCCCAGCACTTGCTGACGTGCAAAAATGGTATCTGTGAGCTACTTCTGATTAGAGAAACTGCATGGCAAGGGTTCGAGGCAGGGCAGAAGATGCTGGAGCTTCTCTCGGTTCTGGGTTGGTGCTGCCTGATGAGCCTGGATAGCTCAGTTAGGTGCAGTATATGCTGCCAGGTATTGACTAGGAAGTAAATAGCTCATGCCTTCCTGTTGTGCGTCTGGGAAGTGTCTGCTTAGCCACACTGGAATGCAGGGTGGCAGAGTGCATTGGACTTTGGGCCGATGCAGCAGGGCTCTTAATAATGGTAACTTTAATAGCAACAGCACCAACTTCTTACTCTAGCAGCGCAGAACACCTAGCCAAGGAGGACCAAAGTTGAGAAGATCCATAACTGGTGTAGGACTGTAAATTATTTGATGTGTCAATGCGAATTGAAGTCGTTAAAATTGCAGTTACAGATAGGTAGCCGTGTTGGTCTGCCATAGTCAAAACAAAAAAATTCCTTCCAGTAGCACCTTAAAGACCAACTAAGTTAGTTCTTGGTATGAGCTTTCGTGTGCAAGCACGGAAGGAAGAAATTTTTTTGTTAAAATTGCAGCTAAGGTACTGTATAAGGGTTTGTTATTCTGACTAGCGTGCATTGGAATTTATAAGTTTTTAGAGTGCAGAGTTAAAGTAAATCATCAAATCATCAATTCTAGCACGGGGGAAGGGCAACAAAATAATATAATTTGGCATCTGAACAATTGGCATTATTAATCATATTATAATTTGGTATTATATTTTGGTATGGGCAATGAGGCTTTTGTTGAGTTATTGTAATTGAAAACTAATAGAAATTATTACACAAAAAAGAGAAGATCCATAATGGAGAAAATCCATTGGGGGGGGCAAATTTTGGCCTTGCGCAAACAGACATTCTTGCCTTTCACAGTACGCCATAATTACGAAAGATTACCAAAGTCCGCCCCAGATTCTATTACTATCCTTCAGCATCAGTGCTGTGTATTTTGTAAGTCATTATAATGTTCTATATTTTTCCCCCAAGGTTTTTTTTTTCTTTCTTCCTTTCTTTCTAAAAGCAAACAAAAAACGAAATGCAATGCAAAGGGTTTCCCTCTTTTGTGAAATTAGCAGAGTCTCACAGGGCAGAGGAAGTGAAATGCTCTCACAGCGTGTGTGTGCGCGTGGGTGTCTTAAAGGTCAACGTGCTGTGTGTGTGTGTGTGTGTGTGTCTGTCTGTGACAAACTGTCTGTGACATTCATTCTGATTTGTTTGCAGAGTTATGCAAACAACTTTCTGTTGCACTTTTCCCTTATCACAAGAAGCGAATCTTAGCTAGCCACTGCCAGTTCATTGTAGACAATTTTAGTATTAATCCAGTGATGGCCACACTTGATCCTCCAGCTGTTTTGGGACTACAATTCCCATCATCCCTGACCACTGGTCCTGTTAGCTAGGGATGATGGGAGTTGTAGTCCGAAAACAGCTGGAGGGCCGAATTTGGCCATCACTGTATTAATCCAAATAGGCCAATGGTCTCAAGTCAGAACAAGGCAGCTGTGCAGAAGAGGGGATTTAAACAAAAAGGGCTTTTTTTCACCTCTGGTCCAGCATCTTGTATTTATTGTGGTCAACCAGATGCCCATAGTTTTAACTGCACTGCCTGAATCAGTGCTCCCTTTTCTCTGCCCTAAACCTTCCAACATACAGCTTCCTTGGAGTTCGAGAAACATTTCTCTTGAGTATTTGCTTGTCTCCAGAGCTCCTTGTGTGAATTAGGCCCCTTAAGTTGGTTCTGAAAACATTTAGCAGGGAGGTATTGTTGCAACGTAGAATGGGGAGGAAATCCATGGCTAGGTAGCAAAAGGAAGTGGTTAGGCCATATATAGAGCTGTGTGGGAATAAAGCTGAAAGGCTGGGCTGTGAGCGGGTGCCTGCATTTTGAGGATGCACATTTAAAACAAAGGAGGAGAGGAGGAGGAACCGAGATGCTTTGAAGAGAGGGAATGGCCATTTCGGACGACGGTGCAAGGATGAAAAGGAGCTAGCTAGATCCAAATTGGATAGGGTGAATTGTTGGTTCGCTGTCAGCCAAATACCGTGGCACTTTCAGGTGAAGAAAGTCAGGCCTGAAGTAGGGAGAGAGGACTCCCTTTGACTAAGGCTATAAAGGTGCAAACTGACGCTTTGTTGAGCAAACACCTGCTGGCCTGAGACCTAGTCCAAGATGGCTGCCAAGAGACGAGGTGAAGCAGAGGTTGGCGAGCACAGTCCCAAAAGGTGTGTTTCCCTTCAGGCAAGTTTCACTGATAACTAGCACACGGGGTTACAAGATCAAGGAACAAAGAGCGTTTTAGCCACGTTCTTTGAGTATAAACAGTATTTTGTTATTCATACCTCACTGTCTTTCTCTGGAGAAACTTTTTCATTTTTAATCATTGCGTTTTCCTATGGAAACTTAATGTTCTGCTCATTAATAATAATAATAATAATAATAATAATAATAATAATAATAATTTGATTTTTCACCTGACCCTTTGCAATAAAGTCCCAGGGTGGATTTCATCAATTTAAAACGCAATGCTAGAAATGGTTTAAAACACCCGGAGGTGTTGCTTCAGGATGCAAACACTGTGGAATGGGAATGATACAATAAAGGTGTTAGGGTCACACTTGCAGGGAGGGGATTCCACAATTTAAGGGCTGCCATTTGGGGTCTAAGTCGTTTTAGGGCGTTAATCACTAGTGCAATTGTGTTTACGGTAAATTGGCTACGCACCAACAGTTTATGTGATGCTTCTCTTTCGCCCTGCGAAAAATGAAAGTTAAAAGTCGGCTTGAGGGCCCCATTCCTTACAGTCAAGCAGAAGGCATTATCAGAGTTCAATGGCAAAACCCAGCAAAAACATGGAGATGTAGGGCAGCTGAGGGGTGTGGCCTGAGGAGAGTTCTGAGGGCCACATTTGGCCCAAGGACCTTTGGTTCCCCACCTGTGGACTAAACAAAAAGGAAGCAGGCTATTGGTTCTTGCTTCAGAGGTCGGAGCCAGGCAGCCCTATTTTCCCCAACCTGATAACCTCTCACATGACAAATTTTGGATGGAATAAGGCCCTATTTATAACATAAACATTATTCAAGAGAATGCTGGCCCCTTTTCTCTTTCTCCAAATATCCAGCCCAGAGCTGAGCTGAGCTGGCTGCATGGCTCTCTGAATGAAAAAAAGGTGCCCTGTTCCATGCTATCTCCTCAGCTGATGTCTCAGATGTGGAACACATTGTCCCACAATAAGTGAAACTTGTTCAATGTCTCCTTATGTATTGCATTCTCTCCCCCTTCCTGGCAGGCCTTGATACGATCCTATGGCAGTTCAGCCGCCACCGGATTCCCAAAAGCAAGCCGCTGCCTATGCAGAAGAATATGTTAAGATCAGTGAAGAAGAAATCGAAGAGATTAGGGATGCACTTGAAGGAGGAAGAATGGCAGAAGCAGCGTCCAAAATATTGGAAAACCTGCAGGCTTTGGAGAATGCCCGGCTGGACATTGCAGTAACGGGAGAGTCTGGCTCCGGCAAGTCCTCGTTTGTCAACGCCATTCGAGGCCTAGGGGATGAAGACGAAGGATCTGCCGACACTGGGGTTGTGGAGACCACAAAGGAGCCCACTCCTTATTCACACCCCAAGCACCCCAACGTGACTGTGTGGGATCTTCCCGGAATCGGCACTCCAGATTTCCAGTCCAGCACTTACCTGGAACAGGTCAACTTCTCCCGCTATGACTTCTTTATTCTCATTGCCTCAGAGCGCTTCAAGTCCAACCATGCCCAGTTGGCGCAGGAAATCCAGCGGATGGGCAAATGCTTCTACTTTGTGCGCTCGAAGGTAGACGCAGATCTAGAGGCCACCAAAAAGCGCCGGCCAAAAGCCTACGACGAGGAGGCGATACTGAGGAAGATTCGAGAGAATTGCAAAGAGTGCCTTCAGGCCGAAGGAGTGGCTGCTCCCCAGGTCTTCCTCCTTTCCAGCTGGGAGCTAAACAAGTACGACTTCATACAGCTCGAGGAGACTCTGGAGAAGGAGCTGCCGAGCCACAAGAGACATGCCTTCCTCATGGCCCTGCCAAACATCTCTTTGTCCATCTTGCAGAAGAAGAAAGAGGCCTTGCAGAAGCAAATCTGGAAGCTGGCTGCCGTCTCATGCGGAATAGCAGCTGTGCCCATCCCAGGCCTCTCTGTAGCTTGCGATATAGCTATCCTGGTTAAGTCTCTTTCGGGATACTGTCAGAACTTCGGCCTAGACGACGAATCCCTTGGCAAATTAGCTGAGAAAGTTGACAAGACTGTGGAGGAGCTTAAAGAGGTGATTGAGTCACCACTGGCCAAAGAAATCTCCAAGGACCTCGTGGTGACGATGTTAACCAAAGCTGGTGGTGGGGCATTGATGGTGGTGGAGTACGCTGTCAGCACAATCCCTGTATTTGGCTCTGTAGCAGCTGGAGGGATATCCTTCGGAACCACCTATTACATGCTTCGCAGCTTCCTAAACGAGGTGGCAGGTGATGCTCAGAATGTCCTCATCAAGGCCTTTGAGTCTGATGTTTGAAAGAGTTATTCGGATCTTGTGTAGTGATCCATGATGGGTGCTTAGCTTCTAAATGGATGGAACGGCACCGAATCGAACAGAGCTCTGTCTTACAGTTCTCAGGGTTCTTTGAGGAAAGCTATGGCAGTTAAACTAGAATGAAGCTGGTTGAAACTTGTCATGTAGACGTGAGCCATATGCATTTGACTGGAGGCCTTTTTGAATCGGATTGCTTCCTTTAGTGAAAATGGATGATGAATTTTTAATTTGTTTTAATGTTACCACTCTAATGACTTTATAACTAAAGCCAAGATTGTGCTGTTTTATACCCAGTGAAGCTCCTCTGGCAACGTTCAGGGCTTAACTTAACAAAGAACTGGAATACAAATCAGTTCCCTTTTTACTAGTGGTTCAAGCCACAGATTGTGACAACCTGAATCTTTAGGCCTGTCTTGCTTTCCTTTCTCTTTTTTCTTTTTTGAATAATAAAATGTGTCTAACCTAAAGCATCTAGAGTGTACAAGTTCCTTGATTTGGAGCAGAAGATTTAAAACAAGTGGCATCTTCTCATTCATAAATTACCCTGACCCAGCTCCTGTTGCCCTCTAGGAAAAACTTTTATCTGGCCAGCTCCAATCCCGTTAGCTATATTGGATCTCCAAGTTAACTTATAGATTCAGTATTTAAGCAACAGCCCATACTAAGGAGGGGGGAAAATAACGGCTGGGAGAAATTTTAATGGGATGGGGCACACGTTTTCCACAAGTCTTGGAGCTTGTAGGTAAGCCCAATAACATTTTGTTCAGATTTTAAAAATGCATTCTTTGGCAAATGAAATACTGAGTTTGGCTAATAAACCAAGGAAGTTTAGCCAATTTGTTAAGCAAATCCTCTCTACTGATGACCCAGTGATACAAACTTTAAGACCACGATTCTGAGTACATGTGTTGCTTAACAAGCAAGACTAGTAAATTATGGCTTTGGTTTGATAAACTGAATTCATACAAGACATGTTGGAGCTACTTATTAGGAACCACAATCTAAATGTTCATGTTTCTTATAAATCCTGTTCTAATCAAACATGGTAAGGGAGGTTTTTTTTTGGGGGGGGGGGGAGATAAGACGACTTATGAAAACTAAGTACAGAAACCATGTAAGAATTCCAGGGGTTTCAGATCCTAATTGCTGTGATGTAGCTTTCCAGACAGCAGAATGTTTCATGTTTCCTGGGGCACTGTTCTGCCATCTAACCTTTTCCTGAGGCCAAAGCATGATGTGGTTATGTCAATGAAAGTCCTCTCCAACCACATCCATGAAGCATGACAGGAATCATGTCACACATGAAAAGCTCTCAGGGATTTTTGGCTGTGGTACATGTACTTCACTTCTGCCAACCTATAAACAAAGCCAGTGACAGTCCGCAGAACAGGGAGAGCAATCAGGCTGTCATGATGACGGTAGGAAGTGATGGAGGGAAAAGCAGTGAAGTGTCAGCGTCATTCCTGACACTTGGCGCTTCAAAAGGCGTTTGCTGAAAAACATTCCCTGGAGGAAATATGCTGGCAAAGCAGCACCCAGCACAGTTGACCCCTGCATCCCTCCCATCAGGTGATTGACAGGTGGATGTGGTTTTGTGGATATAACTTTGTGGGTCAGATTACACCCAAAAGTGGCCCATGGACCAGAGATTCTCCACCCCTGTGCTAAAGAGATGTTCTGCCACCTCCAAGGTGGACTGGAGGAAATAAAAAATATTTTCAAGCCAACTTTTATTTCGCACAGGAGCCCATCACTCAAGAATCATGCCTTCTTATCTTTCTCTAGGTCAGGGTTTCCCAAACTTAGGTCTCCAGCTGTTTTTGGACTACAACTCCCATCATCCCTAGCTAACAGGATAAGTGGTGATGGGAACTGTAGTCCAAAAACTTGTAGTCCAAGTTTGGGAAACCCTGCTCTAGGTTAAAGCTTCTTATATCCTTTCTTCAGAGGGATGCAATTACAGACATTATTCTTTCAATAATTTTATAGGCCAGGCTATGCTCAACACACAGGCATCTATGCATACCCACACTAGAGATACTGTTAACAAAGGAGGCAGTCTGGAGTTTTTTGAGGTGGAAAGCCACACACAATGTGAAACGGCACAAACAATTTATTAAACAAGAATGTCATAGTCCCCAAAGGGAAGTTACTCTTAACTCACATTGCTGCAGGAACAAGAAAGCTAGGCTTGGATCGAGGAAAGGGGCAGAGAATTGAGGAGGGGGAGATGCGTCAGGGTCCACGTCCCTCAAAATGGAAGGTTATGAACAACACTCGACTACAGGGAAGTACTATCTCAACATATACAATCCTTTGGAACCACCTATTACATGCTTTACAGGTTCCTAAACGAGGTGGCAGGTGATGCTCAGTGTGTCCTCATCAAGGCCTTTGAGTAACACCCACCCACCCCACTCACACACGAAAACAAAGATCACCACAGCCAATCACAAACAAACAACTACACCCTAGGCCAACCCCAACCTCTCTCTTCACCAAAGGAACACAAATGAACAGCACAAGCAACACTGACACCAAACCCTACATACATTAAGCATAATAGAAACATCGCCACCCAACCCCATTCATCTTCCCACCCACCCCATTTCTTATTTCTTTTTCTTCTCCCCCTAATGTCTCAACAAATGAAACGGATTTGTAAAAATGTTACATGGAAAAAATACGAGGCATTACACTTACTTCTGTAAAACAAGAAAATCAATAATAATAATAATAATAATAATAATAATAATAATAATAATATTTGAGTCTGATGTTTGAAAGTTCTTCGGATCTCGTGTAGTGATCCATGATGGGTGCTTAGCTTCTAAATGGATGGAACGGCACCGAATCGAACAGAGCTCTGTCCTACAGTTCTCGAGGTTCTGTGGGGAAAGCTATGGCAGTTAAACTAGAATGAAGCTGGTTGAAACTTGTCATGTAGACGTGAGCCAAATGCATTTGACTGGAGGCCTTTTTGAATCAGATTGCTTCCTTTAGTGAAAAACTGGATGATGAATGTTTAATCTTGTTTTAATGTTACCACTCTAATGACTTCATAACTAAAGCCAAGATTGTGGTGTTTTATACCCGGTGAAGTTCCTTGGGCAATGTTCAGTGCTTAACTTAACAAAGAACTGGAATACAAATCAGTTCTTTTTACTAGTGGTTCAAGCCACAGTTTGTGACTTTTTGGAATAAAAAAATGTGTCTAAGCTAAAGCATCTAGAGCAGGGGTCTGCAACCTTTAAGACAAAAAGAGCCACTTGGACCCGTTTCCGAAGGAAGAAAACACTGGGAGCCGCAAAACCATTGCGACATTTAAAACAAATATATCTCCGGAGCCGCGATCTGACAGCGGGTGGGAAGGTGACGTCGGGACGGTGCGTGACTAATGCACGCACCGCCCCCATGCGACGTCACAGCCAGTACAGCGCCCGCCACAGTGGGGAGTGTCGGGGCGCACAATGCACCTCCTCCCCTTGCTAGTATCCGCCCCGGAGCCGCAGCAAAGATGTAAAAGAGCCACATGCGGCTCCGGAGCCGCGGGTTGCAGACCCCTGATCTAGAGTGTACAAGTTCATTGGTTTGAAGCAGAAGATTTAAAACAAGTGGCATCTTCTCATTCATAAGTGCTCTTGTGCAGAGCAGGTTTAGAGCCTGCACGACAAGCTGACTTTGCAAACCAGGCAGGCAGGAAGGACACCAAACTCTCCTCAGAGTGATCCTAGACTGACAGCAAAGCCTGTGTCTTATCTGACACCCTCAGCCTTGGGGGACATAATACAGGGGGGCACTGGGCACAGGTTCCTTCAAGCCTCACGCAGGGAGACTCGCCTTCCCTTCCCCCAGATGGTCCTCCAGCTTCCTGCAGCCTTGGGAGCTGAAGCTCTTTCCACACACATCCCCCAACTCAGTTTCCTTGCAGACCAGGCAGGCAGGTAGCAGCTGCATCTGCAAAGCCAACTGAGAAGTGTCTGCAGCGGGAATTTCTTGTCCCACACTCTCAGTGCCAGCAGTGGCAATTTTAATCTGAAATCTTTTGACACCCTGTACTGCAGTAAGAGTTCAGAAACGACAGACGCTAATAAAATTCCCTATGGCAGAATGCCACTATCACTATGGGTCTTTCGGATTCTGAGAAATGATCAAAAAAATAATAAACCGGAGCAATCATGTATTGCTCAGCAACAGAACAATAAATGCTCTCTTGCTGATTACTTATTTACCCTGCTTAATCTTGGAAAGGGGAATGTAGATGTGGCTATTTGTTATCTTGGAGCAGAAATTACATCCTGTTTCCAAGTTTTCCTCTCCCCCAAGCTTGATTAGCACACAGCTCTGCTCAAACAGGTGATTTCTGAGAAAACGAAACCTAAATGAGGTCGCCCTAAGCTGAACCCAACGTACCTATCGCGTGTCTATTTTGGTACTAAGGCACGATGGGAAGTCCCCCAGAGCCATCTCTGAGGGTGGACCATCCTATTAGGTCCCCCACATCTGCAGAGGGGGAAAGGTGCTGAAGGTCTAAATCTCAACAGGAAGTGATCTGACCATGACAAGGGACTGATGTCAGAATGCCCCACATTCAGATCACGCTCTTCTTGCCCAGCTGAGAAAACAAGGTCCAGAGTGTGGCCTACCACATGGGCTGGGCTGTTGACATGTTGGGACTGCCCCATGGTTGTCATGGCAGCTATGAGGTCCTAAGCCACCCCAGAGCTGGTCACCTTGGCATGGATGCTGAAGTCCCCCAAAGCCAGCAGTCTATGACTCCTCAACCCCCCTGAGAAGCTCTTTCGGCTCAGGGACGGAAACTGCTGGGCATCGAGACAGGTAGTAAGGATATCAAATGCCACTAAGACCTATTACAACAATTTGAGGTATTTTGTTGTTTGAAAGAATGTGATAACAAAAAAGTTCAAAATGGTTGCAAGTCCTTACTTTATTAATCTCAAACTTTTAATCATGTTTTAAAACAATTTCTAGCCCCTGTGGAAACTTGTGTGCGCAGGCAACTCTCTCTGGCCACCTAACCCAGAATGTCTCACTTTGAGAGATGACCCTCTTCTGCAAAGCAAGGGAGAATAGAGAGGCTGCTGAATTCTAAGCTTGATTTCTGTGAAGCCGAAATCCAGTTTCTCATCAAAGTTCCCTTTATGACAAAATTAATCCCCCTAAATTCAGTTGTTCAAGGTTGAGTCTTCAGGTGCATAGCAAATACGTACCTTTCCTTTACCTGGTGGAACTTAATTGAGCACTACAGAAAATAAGATAAATGAGGTTAATAACATAAAAACAGTATAATATGTTAGCATTACAAATCTGAAATATTGTTACTGTTGAGAAAACTTGACTAAATCTTAACTAAATTATAATTGCCTGAATCAGCAAGTCTAGAATTGGGCAGGAAGCAAAATATTATATGGGTCAAATGAAAGAGGGGGGGGTGCTCAAAGGAATGGATATTTAGTCCCATTTTTTTCTAAGCTTTCTCCATGATCAAAGAAAAGCAAGATTACATTCCACAAAATCTGCAACCTCAGAAAGGAAAAAACTATATACCCCAACGCCCCCTCCCCAAAAAAGTTGATGGGCTTTGCCCTTGCGAGAAAGTAGCAGGAACACGGCTGCTGCCAGGCTTGGGGATGGAGAGGGAGCCAAGAAGCAGAGGTAACAGGACTGTGTGCTGGGGTGCCAACTTAAAATATGGGGGGAGGCAGGTAAGCCCTGCCTCACCTCATAGATCACAAGATGTGACGCTCACCCCATTTGAATGGCAATGCCCATCACCTTGTGGGGAGCAGCCCCCCTCCAATATTTCAATATCTCGGCCCCTGGGAGCTGGTCCTATAACTGTGTGCAAGTCATTCTCGTGCTCCCCAGCTCCTCTCCCTCTTTCACCCATCGCGGCTCAGTTCTGCACGCAAAAATGGTGCCCAGGCACTTCTGATTAAAGAGACTGCTGAATCACTTTTGAGAATTATACTTCTGTGAAAGGAATAGGGGCCTCCTAAGAACTCTCAGCACCTTTAACTAACTACCTAGAATGCTTTGGGGAAAGCCATAACTGTGGTATCCTAGGCATAGGGCTCCTGCTTTTACCCCACCCCACCCCATATGCTTCAGTTTTTCTGCCCTCTGGAGCCAGTCATGTGGGGATCACACTGCATCAAAACTCAGGAGAAATGGGATGACATGATACAAAGACTCCAAACAAATTTGTTCTTTTGACTATTGGGGGAAACTTCCTTTGCATTCTTCTCCTCTGCTTTCAGGCTGGAGAAATTTCTGCTTCCTTTTGCTCTCTGTCATGACCCAGCACAGTCCAAGAAATTATTTACAAGGGGGAGGAACTAGGGTGATCTCATTTAGGTTTCCTTTTCTCAGAAATCACCTGTTTGAGCAGAGCTGTGTACTGGTCAAGCGCAGGGGAAAGGAAAACTTGGAAACAGGATGTAATTTCTGATCCAAGATAACAAAAAGCCACAACTCCCTTCCCCTTTCTAAGATAAAGCAGGAAAATTAGCAACAGAGCTGAGCAGTACATGATTGCACTGGTTTATTATTTTTTGATCATATCTCAGAGTCTGAAAGACCCATAGTGATAGGGGCATTCTGCCATAGGGAACTTTATTAGCGCCAGCCATTTCTGAACTCTGTCCGCAGTACAGTGTGTCAAAAGTTTTCAGATTAAAATTGCCACTGCTGGCACTGAGAGTGTGGGACAAGAAATTCCTGATGTAGACGCTTCTCAGATGGCTTTGCAGATGCAGCTGCTACCTGTCTGCCTGGTCTTCACAGAGAGGGATTTGGAGGGTGGGGGTGGCGAAGAGTTCCACATCCCAAGGCTGCAGGAAGATGGAGGACAAGCTGGGGGAAGGGAAGGCAAGTCTCTCTGTGTGAGGCTGTAGAAACCCTTGAAGGAACCCGTGCCTGGTGCCCCCCTGCATGATGTCCCCTAAGGCATATGTTTCAACTGCGAGGCCCTCTACCGGCTTGATGGCATGCATCTTTCGAATGTGGGAAATGATATTTGGCTGACTGACATAGCAAAGGGGATAAGGGATTGGTTTCAGGCATGAGAGTATTGGCGGCGAGCGATTGCTCGTGTGGCGGTTAGGCATTGGTAAGAAGGGGTTAAAAGGATGTGGGGGTAGGAACGCCATCACCTCCCCCCAGAGAATGAAGGGTGGTCCGGTAAAGGACTCCAGGGGGCGTGGCCCTGTCTGAAGCCTATGGAGGTGTGGGCCTAAGGCACGCCACCGAGCGGTGATCCGGGGCAGCTCCTAGTTGACGTGCCTCAGCAGGAGACTCCCCCACTATGGTGTTAACCCTTCCTGTGTCTCCAGCAAATGGGCTGGAGCCGGATAGTCCATAGGACCAATGCCTAAGCCAATGCCTCTCATTCCTGAATTCAATAAAGTTGTGGCCTAATTCGCCCATTTAACCTTAAATTCTGGTGTCTGGTGTCTTTATTTATCCTTGGTGGGGGGCAGGAACTCACCACGCAAGACACAGGCTTTGCCTTCAGTCTAGGATCCATCTGAGGAGAGTTTGGTGTCCTTCCTGCCTGCCTGGTTTGCAAAGCCAGCTTGTCGTGAAGGCTCTATAGCTGCTCTTCACCCTGCAGAATCTTAGAAATTTTCCAAAAAACAAACAAACAACTTATTCCTCATCTGCAATTTTGTAATTTGAAGCCATTTGAGGCCCTACCCTCCAGAGCAGAAGAAAACAAGCTTATTCCCTCTTCTGTGTGAGATAATTGAAGATGGCTATCGTATCTCCTCTCAAACTCCTCTTTTCCAGGCTAAACTTACCCGGCTCCTTCAACCATTCCTCATAAGGCTTGGTTTCCAGAGCTTTGGTCATCTTGGTCGCCCTCCTCTGTACAAGTTCCAGCTTGTCAATACTCTTCTTCTGAAGGATATGAGGAGCTTCCAGCTTCAACATCACTGTCTGCATCATGTTTTCTCCTCACCCAAGCGGATGGTTTGCTGTGAGCTTGCACATCTTCCCAGCTGGGTGCAACCTTCCAGAGCAGATTTTAGAGGAGATGAGATGAAAAAGAGGACAGGGACTCCTGCCCCATTAAAATTTGTGTAGAAGGGGGAATGTCACCAAATATTTCCTTCAGCAGAGGGAGAGATCTCCTGCGGGAAGTGGGCAAATTTATTATTTTCAGTTTCTCTCAGTTTCTCATTTTTCCAGTATTTAAGTTCAGCTCTTCACATCTCCAATAGCTGGCTATTTCCTTTTTTAAAAAGTTCTCATGAAAACTCATCAGGACTTCTATTTATTATGATTATAATTATTATTATTATCTTCCCCAAAAGGCAGTGTACAAAATGCAATGAACACAGCTGAAAAGCAGTTAAAAACAACCCAGAAAAAAAGTTAATATGTTTCCAAACAATGCTAAATAGACACTCATGGCAGCAACCTATTCATCCACCTGGGAAAAATTGTCAGAATGAAACATCTTCAGTTGTTTCCAGAAATTACGGGTAGTGGGTTCCTGTTGTATCCCTGTAGGAATGCTATTCCACAGAACAGGGGAAGTCACACTAAAAGCCCTGCTCTGAATTACAGAAGATCTACCCAAATATCAGGAGTGAGTGGCAGATTTTATCCTGCCTGCATGATTGTCCTCATTTGCACAGGCCAGAGAGTACATAAAGCTTTGTTACCATCAGTGTTAGATACCACCTTTGTTGGGTTTTTTAAGCAATAAATACATCATGGTACAAATGTTGCCACTGTTACATCAACGAGATCATGAGCTGCAGGCATCCACACTATGAAGAAAGCATGATGGAACAACACTGTTTATTTCGCAGCATTTATGTCCTGCTTAATTGCAATAAACCTCAAGGCAGTTGAGACAAGCGATAGAACCCGTCCTGTTTTCTTTGCAGATGCCAAAACATTTCGTGCCGCTCCTGAAATTTCTTCTGTCCTTTGCAAAGACTCCAATCTACACTGCAGTAGGAGGAGAGCTGGACTCTGGGAAGTCACAGAATCAAGGAATTCTAGAGTTGGAAAGGACTCCAAGGGTCATCTAGAAGAAGAGAAGAAGAGTTTGGATTTGATATCCCGCCTTTCACTCCCTTTAAGGAGTCTCAAAGAGGCTCACATTCTCCTTTCCCTTCCTCCCCCACAACAAACACTCTGTGAGGTGAGTGGGGCTGAGAGACTTCAAAGAAGTGTGACTGGGCCAAGGTCACCCAGCAGCTGCATGTGGAGGAGCGGAGACGCGAACCCGGTTCCCCAGAGTACGAGTCTACCGCTCTTAACCACTACACCACACTGGCTCACATCTAGATCAACCCCCCCCCCCCAAATCAGGGCCATTTGGGGCTTAAGTGCAGAAAACGCGGGAGCTGCTGAGACGGGCACAGAGGCAACTACGGCAGAGGTAAAGGATTAACCATCTCGGATGCTTCAAGTTTCACGAGTGAGCCTTTGGGACCTTCCCAGGAAAGGTAGCTGCACCGCTGTCAATCAGGCTGCTTGGAGCTCCCTCTAGCGGGGAATGCGGCTCTGGCTCTGCGTTGCAATCTCGTCCTCGCTCGTACTTTCGCTTTCTTCTTTGCTTTTTTTAGTGCGACGATCCGGCGGGAGAGGGAATAAAAGCGAGAGAAACAGAGTTGGACGGAGAAAAGCCTAAGAGACCAGCAAGCAAAGTCTCCAGAGAGAGCTCTGAGTCTTACTGCAAAAAAAATCGGACTGGCAGCAGGTAAGGAGGTGAGCATTTCTCCTGGAGCTTTGTTTCTGAGCGTGTTTGTGTTAAAGGAGACTCTGAGCTCATTGCTAGGCAGGGGGCGGCAGAATCGTTTATTTTTACTCTTAATGATGTTGGAAAAGGCTGCCCTTCTTCCCCGCTGCAAAGGGAATAAATAACATGCCATCACCAGGGAGCAAGCAGAGCTGGTGCTGCTATAAGAGTTGTAAGTAACTGCTCTGAAATCAACGCGGGTCTCCCCTTCGAACGGTGACGCGTGTTCATTCGACATCCCCCTCTGCAGCTGCTACGAGGCTGCCCTCCTGCTCCTCTCGCCTCCTGCCTCTTTCCCTTTTGGGGGTTTGGCAGAGTGGAGGGGAAAACTCTTTGGAAGCAGGCAGAGCCTTAGCTAGGTGATCTGGCGCCCCTGGCAGATCCGTCCAGATTGCGCCCCCTAGCCAGGGACAAATTAGCTCTTCTTTCCGTCTCTCCTCCAACCCCCCTTCCTCCCATTCAATTCCTCACGCACTTCCCCTTCTAATGAATTATTTCACAGAAAAGCCAATATTTAATTTATTATTTCTTCTCAAAAGGTTTCAGCAAAGAAAATGATATTTTGATGTGAGTTGACAGGTTTTTAAAAATGCAATTCAGTTGTAAAACAATACACAGATAGGCCTAAATGGAACGTAGAAACCATATCATACGGATTTGCTTCACAATGACAACTTTCTGGTCTCAGAGCTGGAGATGGTATACTCCCTCCCCCCTCCCCCACTCTCACACACAAAGCCCACAGCCCACCTCCATTGCCCCCTCCACTTGCAATCCCAGATCTCTCCACTGGTGCACACAGCCCTCCCTTCCAGGCTGCTCTTCGCCCGCATACCCAGCACACACCTCGAGAGAGAGACCTCATTCATTAGCCTCTCCCGCTCCTTTCCCGACTCTTCCCTCACCTTGGATGCCAGGATCAGAAGGAAAAAAGCTCCCATCCCACTCTCTCCCTCCCTCCCTGAAGGGAAGATGATGGGGAGGGGGGAGAGAGAAAGGACCCAACTTCAGGCCAACTTTCCAATCCGGACCCTGTTCTGTGCTTCCCCCCTCCCCCGCTTGTTTGTTTCTAAGGTGTTTGACCCCCTCACTTTCCTCACCCATCTACTCCCACCTTTCCTCTTCCAGCATCACCAACACGAAATCTCAGCAGCCCTCCATGTGATTTCCAGACAGGAGCCTGAGGAAAAGTTGCACAACCCAAATAAACTTTGGAGTTGGGGAGAGAGAAGGAGGGGGAAAAAATAAAGCTATGCTGAGGGGTCAAGAGGCGAGGAATTTGTGTCTGGTCCTTCCACAGGTTGGGGAGAAGGAGGGGGGAGGCTGTCCCCAGTCTGAGAAGAGAAACCATTCCATTGGGAAGCTGGTAATGTGCAGCTTGGGGGAGGGGGGAAGTGGGTGGGGAATTTAGACACATAAGGTGTATCTGGTTATTAATCACTTAAATCAGTGGTTTTCAACCAGTGTGGTGTGCCACCCTGGGGTGACTTGAATGATGGTCAGGGGTGCCTGGGCAACACTGGCCTCCACCCCTCTTTCTTCTCTCCCTCCTCTGATGCCCTCTGGTATCTCTGCTTCCGAAAGGCTTCCGAAAGGCTTGCACAGCTGTTTGTTGCAGCAGCCCTGGCTACAAGCTCTCCAGGCGAAAGGTGCCTCTGGTGCTGGCCAGGGGGTGCTGGTTTCCAGGAACTGAAAGGGGCCTCAGAGTAAGTGAGCAAGGGAGCCCAGACAGACAGACCACCAGCCCTTGCTGTTGGGAATGGACAGACAACTCCTAGGCCCCTGTGGGGCAGTGTGAGGAGGCACCTCTATTGGGGGCAGAGGGGTGGCAGCTCAGAGAGGACAGGCAGCAGCAGTGGCTGCCAGAAGAGTCCCAAGGAGAGGGGAGAGGAGGCTGAGGGAAGACTTCACAAGGGCAGGGGGTTGTTTGAAAAAGGATGAGAGGCTGCCAGCTCTGCAGGCAAGGGGTGACATAACTGGGCTCCTGAGCCCCACAGGGGTGCCACAGAAAAAAGGTACTTGGTCAAGGGAGCCGTGGACTAAAGAAGGTTGAAAACCTCTGACTTCAATGACAAGCAGGGGCATAATTTACATACAGTGTCTAAAGGTAGGATGCGCTCTTAAAACATACTTAAATAAAACTGCCCCAATCCCTTCTTCTTCTTCTTCTTCTTTTTTTATAAAATTTTTATTGGTTTTACAAAGTTTTAATGGACATAAACAAACCAACAGACACACAAACAAACATGTATAATTTCATATCCTTTTTTCCCTTAAACCTTACTTCATTGACTTCCCCACACCTCCCCTTTCTACATCCCAATTTCAAAAATTATTTCAGCAAATCCTAACAAAACTTAATTTTATCAATTTTTTCCCTTATTCTTTTCTTTTACTTAATCTTTTACAGCCGTAACCCCCATTTTCCCCTAGAACCTTGACATTTTAACATTCATTAATTTTGCAATGTTTCTTAAGATAAATTTTGAATTTCTTCCAATCTTCTTCCGCCGTCTCTTTCCCCTGGTCACGGATTCTGCCAGTCATTTCAGCCAGTCCCATATAGTCTATCACCTTCATCTGCCATTCTTCCAGAGTGGGTAGATCTTGAGTCTTCCAATGCTTTGCGATAAGTACTCTTGCTGCTGTGGTGGCGTACATAAAAAAAAATCTGTCCTTCTTTGACACCAATTGGCCGACCACGCCCAGGAGAAAAGCCTCTGGTTTCTTAAGGAAGGTATACTTAAATACCTTCTTCATTTCATTATAAATCATCTCCCAGAAGGCCTTAATCCTTGGGCATGTCCACCAAAGGTGAAAGAATGTACCTTCAGTTTCCTTACATTTCCAACATTTATTATCAGGCAGATGGTAGATCTTTGCAAGCTTGACTGGTGTCATGTACCACCTGTAAATCATTTTCATAATATTCTCAAACATTTCAAACATTGCAAATTCTTGACAAGATGGACTGTTTCAAGAGGTGGCAGAAGGACATTTCGAAATTTGTCTGGCAGGGCAAAAAACCCAGAATAAAATTTAAGATTTAAGATTTTAACGGATGCAAAGGAAAGAGGGGGATTTGCCCTGCCGGACTGTACTATGAGTCAGCAGCGTTCTGCTGGATGAAAGAGTGGATGCTCCTCGAGAATACAGACATCCTGGACTTGGAAGGTTTTAATAATGTATTTGGATGGCATGCATATCTATGGTATGATAAGGTTAAAGCGCATAAAGCCTTTAAAAATCACATTGTTAGGAAAGCATTATATAACGTCTGGACCAGATATAAAGATTTGTTGGAAAACAAAACCCCTAGATGGCTGTCGCCAATGGAGGCTAAAGCTGTGAAAAAACTCAATATGGAGGCTAAATGGCCGAAATATTGGGAAATATTGGGAAATTTTGGAACAAGAGGGTGATAAATTGAAATTACAGAGTCATGAGAAATTGAAGACCAAAGTACGAGATTGGCTCCATTATTACCAAATAATGGAGGTTTACAAACAAGACAGGAAAATTGGCTTCCAGGTGGAGAAATCAAAATTAGAAACAGAATTGTTAGAACCCAATGCTAAGAACTTGTCTAGAATGTATAACTTGTTGCTGAGATGGAATACACAAGATGAAACAGTTAAATCAGCTATGATTAAGTGGGCACAGGACATTGGTCATAACATTATGTTTGCTGACTGGGAACAGTTGTGGACCACCGGTTTGAAATTTACGGCATGTAATGCCTTAAAGGAAAATATTATGAAAATGATTTATAGGTGGTACATGACCCCAGTCAAGCTAGCAAAAATTTATCATTTGCCTGATAACAAGTGTTGGAAATGTAAAGAAACTGAAGGTACCTTTTACCACCTTTGGTGGACGTGCCCGAAGATTAAGGCTTTTTGGGAAATGATATATAATGAAATGAAAAAGGTACTTAAATGTACTTTTCCTAAGAAACCAGAGGCCTTTCTCTTGGGCATAGTCGGCCAATCCCTTCTTCTTTTTGACCAGACCCCCCTCTTCTGCACCTTCAGGCTGGTAACACTTTGTTGCATTTTGTTGCATCTTTCTAAAAACACGTAAGGTTTAATCAGCAATGTAATGGGAACAGCTTCCCTCTCCAGCCTAAAAAAAATAAAACAAATAAAAAATCAGGAAGTGCAGTTTCTGAAAATGCTGAGAGTCCCCTTCCTCATGTTCCTCTCTATATTCAGGGCTCTTGGGCACTGCTCCTGTGTCATAGGCTTCCTGGATGCAGAGGAGTAGTTAAAGGCAGCAGTTGGGGTACCCCCAGGGGAACCCCCAGAGGAAGAATCTCAGAGCCAGGGGATTGGGGGTGGGATGGAGATGAGTGGTCAGAGGGAGAAGAGAGAGCAGACTGGGAGGAGGAGGAGATGTCAGAAGCTGAAGAGGCAACAGGGTTTAGTGAGCAGGAAGAGTCTGTGGCAGAGAGCAGTCCAGAATCAGAGGCAGAACTGGAGGGGGGTCAAGAGGCATGGACCAGAGCACACCAGGCACTCCTGTCTTCCACTGCCTCCTCTGTCGTCCCCTTCTCCTTGTGCCCTCCATCTTTCCCAACATCAGGGTCTTTTCCAGGGAGTCTTCTCTTCTCATGAGGTGGCCAAAGTATTGGAGCCTCAGCTTCACGATCTGTCCTTCCAGTGAGCACTCAGGGCTGATTTCCTTAAGAATGGAGAGGTTTGATCTTCTTGCAGTCCATGGGACTCTCAAGAGTCTCCTCCAGCACCATAACTCAAAAGCATCAATTCTTCGGCGATCAGCCTTCTTTATGGTCCAGCTCTCACTTCCATACATCACTACTGGGAAGACCATGGCTTTAACTATACGGACCTTTATTGGTAAGGTGATGTCTGCTTTCTCCCAAGGAGCAGGCGTCTTTTAATTTCGTGACTGCTGTCACCATCTGCAGTGATCATGGAGCCCAAGAAAGTAAAATCTCTCACTGCCTCCATTTCTTCCCCTTCTATTTGCCAGGAGGTGATGGGACCAGTGGCCATGATCTTCATTTTTTTGATGTTGAGCTTCAGACCATATTTTGCGCTCTCCTCTTTCACCCTCATTAAAAGGTTCTCCTCACTTTCTGCTATCAAGGTTGTATCATCTGCATATCTGAGGTTGTTGATATTTCTTCCAGCGATCTTAATTCCGGCTTGGGATTCATCCAGCCCAGCCTTTCGCATGATGAATTCTGCATATAAGTTAAATAAGCAGGGGGACAATATACAGCCTTTCCCAATTTTGAACCAATCAGTTGTTCCATATCCAGTTCTAACTGTAGCTTCTTGTCCCACATAGAGATTTCACAGGAGACAGATGAGGTGATCAGGCACTCCCATTTCTTTAAGAACTTGCCATAGTTTGCTGTGGTCGACACAGTCAAGGCTTTTGCATAGTCAATGAAGCAGAAGTAGATGTCTTTATGGAACTCTCTAGCTTTTTCCATAATCCAGCGCATGTTTGCAATTTGATCTCTTGTTCCTCTGCCTCTTCTAAATCCAGCTTGCACTTCTGGGAGTTCTCGGTCCACATACTGCTTAAGCCTGTCTTGTAGAATTTTAAACATAACCTTGCTAGCACGTGAAATGAGTGCAATTGTGCGGTAGTTGGAGCATTCTTTGGCACTGCCCTTCTTTGGGATTGGGATGTAGACTGATCTTCTCCAATCCTCTGGCCACTGCTGAGTTTTCCAAATTTGCTGGCATATTGAGTGTAGCACCTTAACAGCATCATCTTTTAAAATTTTAAATAGTTCAGCTGGAATATCATCACTTCCACTGGCCTTGTTATTAGCAATGCTTTCTAAGGCCCATTTGACTTCACTCTCCATGATGTCTGGCTCAAGGTCAGCAACCACACTACCTGGGGTATACAAGACATCCATTTCTTTCTGGTATAGTTCCTCTGTGTATTCTTGCCACCTCTTCTTGATGTCTTCTGCTTCTGTTAGGTCCTTTCCACTTTTGTCTTTTATTATTGAAATCTTTGTACAAAATGTTCCTTTCATATCTCCAATTTTCTTGAACAGATCTCTGGTTTTTCCCATTCTATTGTTTTCCTCTATTTCTTTGCATTGCTCGTTTAAGAAGGCCTTCTTGTCTCTCCTTGCTATTCTTTGGAAATCTGCATTCAGTTTCCTGTATCTTTCACTATCTCCCTCACATTTTGCTTGCCTTCTCTCCCCCGCTATTTGTAAGGCCTCCTTGGACAGCCACTTTGCTTTGGGGGGGATGGGATTCATACCTTCTACCTATAAAGCTTTGTTGCTTGGCAAATGATAATAAAATTGTTGACACTGGAAATTTTATGGAGGGCATGCCACTAATGAATGCTTTTAATTAGGCTGGTCACGTAACATTTTCCTGCTTCTTTTCTCTTCAGTGCACCAAGAACCACAATGGTGGAAGACTTCGAGGCAGCCATTTCTCAGGGCCAATTAGCAGGCGCTGTGTCGCATGTGCTGGCAAAGCCACTGCACTTTTTCAACAGCACTCCGCTCCACATTGCCGTAGTAGGAGAGCCCGGCTCCGGAAAGTCCTCCTTCATCAATGCCATGCTGGGTCTTCGGGCCGATGACCCACGTGCCGCTGCGACTGGCATACAGATGACGACTGTGCAGGTCAAGGATTACCCACACCCGACACTTCCACAAGTGATCCTTTGGGACCACCCCGGAAGGGGAACGCCAACTTTTGGGGAGGACAAACTTGAGAAGAAGGTCGATTTGACTCACTTTGATTTCTTCGTCATCGTCGGCTCCCAGCGCTTCCGCTCCACCCATTCTGACCTGGTCCGTGAGATCCAAGATATGGGCAAGAGCTTCTACTTTGTGCGCACCAAAGCAGACCTGGACCTGTCGGCCGCCAAGAGGCAACAGCCATCTGACTACAGTGAGAAGAAGGTCCTCTTGCACATCCAGGAGGACTGCAAAGAGTGCTTGGTAAGAGAAGGAGTGAGGGACCCACAAGTCTTCATCGTCTCCAGCTGGGAAGCCGACTGCTTTGACTTCCCCCTCCTGCAGGAAACGCTGAAGAACGATCTCTTGCGGCTGAAGAGGCAAGCCTTTCTGCTCCGCTTCCCTAACATCTGCCTGCCTATCTTAGAGAAAAAGAAAACCACTGTGAAGGAGAAGATTTGGACCAGAAGGCTTGTTTTGCTGGTCGCTTTTGGAAGCCCAGTTCCCTTCCTTCTTCCCATATTTCTGTTTAGTAAGTTCCGCTCCTGGTGCTTTCTAGACTTTGGCCTGGATGATCAATCCCTTGCAGCTCTGGCCCAGCGGGTTGGAAAGACAAGCACAGCCCTTAAAGCAGCAGTGCAGTCGCTGGGAATGTTCTCTGCCATTTTATGGGTTCTGCCAGACTTGGTGGGACTCTCCGTGATGGCTTATGAATATCACCGCTGGGAGCATTTCCCCATCTTTGGCTGCCTTCTGTCCATTGGGATTTCGCTTCCTCGCACCTACTTCATGCTGCAGAAATGCATATCGGGTGCTGCTGATGATACCCAGAGGGTTCTTTCCAAAGCTCTTGAGTCAGAGGGGAAAAAGTCCATTTAGCAACAAGCAGATGCACTATGATGACCAAATGCTTGATATATATAGTATCTGGTGAATTATACTTTGGGACAAATGGACTTTTCCCTATTCATACTTCTTTCAGTCCACTAATGAATTGCTCTGTATATGATGTCAGACTAGAAAAAACTAGTGACCTATGTGAACTTGCTTGCCAGGATGGTCTCAAGTTAGAATTTATGCAGGCTGCAGCATTCACTTTCTCTCCTCCCCCCCCTCTCTCTCTCTATATATATATGCTGCATTTGCTTTTTTTCTTCAGGAACAAGAGTTAGCTCTGTATCACAAGTCCCATGCAACATCTCTTTCAGAATGTTCTTTCCCTCATACACACTCAAACTGAAAGAGGGCATTCAGCTAGACAGGAGCCTCCACACAGTGGCGTAGCATGGGGGGTGCATGGGGGACCGGCCGCACCAGGCGCAACATCGGGGGGGGGGGCGCTCGCATTCGCAGCTCTCTGCCGCTACTAAAATCCACGGGTTAGGGGGCACAAATTACTTGCCTTGCCCCGGGTGCTGACAACCCACGCTACACCACTGCCTCCACATTTGTTAAATAGAAAGTTGAGGTATTTTTAGTCTGTTTTAGTATTTTAACTCTTGCATATCTTAAAGCATGACTGTAATTGTTTCCTGGTTTTATTGTTTTTTCTCTTTGCAAACCACTTTGAGGTTTTATTAGAATCAAGTGCTGTATAATTTTTCATGAAATAAATTAATTGGTTAAATTAATCTCCTGGCCACCCTTACTAATCAGCTTTCAGTTTTCCATGAAAGTCTCATAAATGAGAAATGTTGTGAATTATCTAGACATCCCACCCCTCCTTCTTTGGCAATCACTCTGAGCTGAGTAAGGTTGTCTTCCATAAACATGGTTTTAACAGTGAGTCCGTAAATGACCATGGAGGCCAGTTCTGGATCCACACGGCCTTCCACAGTGGGGACATTGGTTTCTGGGCGGGAGTTAATCACGGTGTGGATTTGCCAAGTGTGCTTTCCTCTTAGCACGTTTCATTGTGGGGGGTCAAAATGATGCAACCTGTTTCAGTGAGGGAATGGCATTTCACGTGGCATTCACAGTATGGATTGCTCCCTTAACTCTCCAGCCCTGGCCTTCAAACAAATTCATTTAGGTCTGGATAGATCAGGCCCATAGATCAATGTTAGTGCTACCCCCAGCATGATGAAATTTGAAGGAGTGGCTGCTTGAGCAGGGAGCTCCACAAAGCCACCCAACCTCTACTTTATCCTCAGGAAGGCTTGTTCCATGTTCTGTCACCGGGTGTTGCCATTTTCTTGGTCTAGTCCAACAGGGCCAGCTCTACTATTAGCCAGTGTGAAGCAGCTGCCTCAGGTAGCAGATTGTGTGTATTGGGGGAAGCCCAGTGGTGGCGGCTATCCTGGACTGTGCCTCTTGAGGATCCCCACTAGCCACTCTCCTCTTTTAAGATGCCATGAGACCCTTTGCACACCCTTCAACATTTCTCTGATGAAAACAGGGACGTCCCATTCCATAATGATAATTTTACTATTTTTAGCCCCACAATTTTACTGGGTTGCCCAAGCCACTCTGGGCAGCTACCAACAAATATAAAAACATAATAGAACATTATACAGCAGGCACGTCCAACATGTAGATCGTAATCTACCGGTAGATCACTGGACGTCTGTGGTAGATCACTGGTAGATCACTGGCTCCCCTCAAATAAGCTCAACAACTTTGACCTGAACCCCCCCCCCCAAAAAAAAGGGGGTAGATCAATGCCGGTTTTTAACTGTGAGTAGATCACAGTCTCTTGTGAGTTAGCCACCCCTGCTCTACAGGATTCCCTTCAGATGGCTCAGGGGCCAGATAACTCCATACCCTCCAACATTTCTCCACTGAAAATAGGGACATCCTAAGGAAAAGCGGAGCATTCCAGGATCAAAGCAGAAACCAGGGCGGCTTCTTTAAATCAGGGACATCCCTGGAAAATGCGGATACTTGGAGGGTCTGCCTTTGCTGTTTTTGCTTCAACAAACCGACATGGCTGCCCCTTTGGAAACAGCCTACCTAAGTCCCCTAAAGCCATTTCCCTCACGTGAGGAGAGGTCAGGGCCCCATTGCCCGTGTTCTGAAGTCATTCAGTGGCTGATCCAGTTGGTTTCTGCCCATGGAATGGAGGGAGGGGCAGCGGCCATCTTGCCCTTCACCTCAGGCAACAAAACGTCTTGGGTTATTCTTCCTCAGAGAATACCAGATGTCAGGGATTGTGAATGTGGCGGAGACAGGGGGCCAGGAGGCTGACCCAGGAAAGGGAGCCACTGGTTTATGGGAGCCAGACCAGGGGGAGGAAGAAGAAGAAGAATTAGGGCAGGATGTGGTGGAGGAAGAGGAAACTGTCCAGCCAAGGGATGGGCCAGTTGACTCCCCGCCTTCCCCTGCTCCGCCATCTCCTAGTACCAGGAGGGGCTTGAAGAGGAATGAGCAGCAGCGGCTTTCGTGCAGAAGAAGTCGCCCTGTGGGAGCTGCTGTCAGTGTTTCTCTTGCCAATAAAGTGTCAACTACCAGCCATGCATCTTCCTGAGCTGCTGCAGTGGGCCGTGACCATTAAGTTCCAGTGTGTTTTAACCAAAAAAGCAAAACCACACATGCAAAAACCAAGTTCACAAAATCCCTCGTAGCCCAAGTAGTCTGTAGGCTCTACTATCCTCTGACTGAACGAGGAAGCGAGACTCATGTTTTAAAGGTTTAAAGAATGCCATAACAAAAAGTTCAAAATAGCTGCAAGTCCTTAACTTTATGAATCTCAAACTTTTAACTATGTTTTAAAATAATTTCCAGCCGCTGTGTTGCAGGCGACTCTCCCCCGCCACCTAACCCAGAATGTCTCCCTTTGAGAGATGACCCTCAAACCAAGGGAGAATAGAGGGGCTGCTGCATTCGTGTCAGGAAAGCATTTTTGAAGTAAAAGGGGGAGAGGAGAGTGGGCAGTGTGACAGTTTTGCTTTGTTCAGGGGGGAAATGCATGCTCGAATTCTACAATTTCTAACTGTTAACTTCTGCTGTCCAGCCTCTGTTTGTGCACTCTCAGTGCTTCCCCAGTCAGCTCAACGGCCCAGAAGGGATTTGCAGGCCAAGGAGAGTTTGAAACTTTCCCTCCCCATCCCATGATTCTGATGATAATCCCTCTCCCCACAATACTGCTATTAAGAGGAAGGTGAGGGCAGGTATGGTCTCTGCATCCTTCTATAAGGGTACAGCCACAATAGCACAGAAAAAAAGAAACATTAAACATGTTTGCTTTCATATTGAGTTGAAGATATGTAATTGAATAAAGTCTGGCTTCAGCTGTTAGATCCCAAAGAGTTACATCTGGATATTGGGGGTACAAGTACTCCGTTGGTTCCCTAGTACCTTTCATCACATCGACCGCAGCTGCACCACCCTCATCGTCTGCCATATTTCGCAGGGCATTGACCAGGGATGATTTGCCAACACATGAGTCCCCTATGATGGCGATATCAAGGGTACGTTTGCCAGATGGCTGATTCATTTGAGCTAATGTGCCTTGTTTGTTGCTCTTACAAGCCATGGCTGCTCTTCTGTGAGATTTATCACACCTAAACAAGAACAGAAATATTGCAGCAGTTAATGCCTTCTGCATCTAACTCCTCTTTTAAAACAGCTGCATTGGTTGCCAGTTCATTTCCAGGCCCTACTCACATTAATGTTTAACTCCATTCAGCATTCCAAGGAAACCATGTTCTGGGTTAGCACTGGAACCCCTGGAATCTCTTACCAAACAGAAATTGGGGTTCAGGCAACATTATAGTTATTACAACGTCTTAAGTAAACAGCTTTAACAAATGTTCTTGAAATTCCTGTACAGCTTCATCTGCCTCTCAGTTTTCCTGCCTAAACCCCCTGAAATGGCTACAATGCTTTGATGAGAAGCTTTCAAACTGCATAAATTGGACTTCCTGTCCTGGTGAGGGTTTCTCCTGGAGAGAGAAACTCTGATATACACGGGTGCATTGGTTCCTGAACGGCTTAGTTGTCAAACAAATCGGCTCCCGAATGCTGCAAACCCGGAAGTAAGTGTTCCGGCTTGCGAACGTTTTTCAGAAGCCGAACATCCAACATGGCTTCTGCTTGAGTGTAGGAGGCTCCTGCAGCCAATCGGATGCCACGCCTTGGTTTTTGAATGGTTTCGGGAGTCGAACACACACCCGGAATGGATTAAGTTCAAGAACCAAGGTTCCACTCCCTGTATATTTGATTGTTGTCCTTTCAAGCAACCGTTCACTGCTGAATACATAGCAGGAATGGTTGAAATATGGGAAAGTGAGCAAAGAAAGAAACAGTCAGAATAAATGGGGGGGGGACTCCTTTTAGAGCTGAAAGGCAGCATAGAGATATTATTCCTTGATGGCTTCCTTGTCGACTTTTGCATTGTTACATTGATAGGCTGCATCAATAATAATAATAATAATAATAATAATAATAATAACAATAATAATTTATTATTTATACCCCGCCCATCTGGCTGGGTTTCCCCAGCCACTCTGGGCGGCTTCCAAAAGAATATTAAAATACTATGATATATCAAACATTAAAAGCTTCCCTAAACAGGGCTGCCTTCAGATGTCTTCTAAAAGTCTGGTAGTTGTTGTTCTCTTTGACATCTGGTGGGAGGGCGTTCCACAGGGAGGGCGCCACTACCGAGAAGGCCCTCTGCCTAGTTCCCTGTAACTTGGCTTCTCGCAGTGAGGGAACCGCCAGAAGGGCCTCGGTGCTGGACCTCAGTGTCCGGGTAGAACGATGGAGGTGGAGACGCTCCTTCAGGTATACTGGACCGAGGCCGTTTAGGGCTTTAAAGGTCAGCACCAACACTTTGAATTGTGCTCAGAAACGTACTGGGAGCATCAAGTGGAAGGGCTTTAAAGCTGTGGGGGTTTAGGGCGTCTTAGAGGAAATAGTTTCTTTTCCAGAAAAGTTCTAACATTCTGCAGGGTGCAGAGCGACGTTAGAGCAAGAAGCTGGCTTTGCAGACAGGGCAGGCAGGCAGGACACCAAACTCCCCACAGAGTGTTCCTAGATGGACAGCAAAGCCTTTGTCTCATCCGCCATCCTCAACCTGAGAAGGATATGATGCAAGGGATCATGGCACAGCTACACTCCAGGGTTTCTACAGCCTCACGCAGAGAGGCTCCCCTTCCATTCCCCCAGCTTGTCCTCCAGCTTCCTGCAGCCTGGGGAGCTGTTGCTCTTCCCCACCCCCTGCAGACCGGGCAGGCAGGAAGCAGCTGGATCTGCAAAGCCAGCTGAGAAGCGGCTGCAACAGGATGTTTTCCTACCCAGCCCACAGTGCCAGTAGTGGCAATTTTAATCTGAGTGTATTGT